GAGAGGAATTGGCTGTCTTTGATCTCCACCTCCAGGTAAGATTTAGTTCTCTGCTTTCATATTTTGTGACTATCACACCAGTTTCTCATAGTTCTGCACTGTAGTATCTTATCCATACACACCATTAAAGTTGTTGGGGCTCTTGTCAGGTTAATAGAAATAGGAAAGGACACTGGTTAAAGTCAGGTCAACTCAGATCTGGGTTCAAATTTTGACTCTGTTGCTTATTAGTTGCGTAGTACTTGACAAGTCACTTACCTGCTCTGAGTCGTATCATTTTCTATAAAATGGGAATTCTAACGCTAACCTTGCTGAGTTGCTTTTAGGATCAACCAAAAGTATATAAGTCACCGGGCACATAAATAGCACTTGTTAAATCTAAATCCGACACAATTACTTGTATTTAGGGGGGGCGGGGTCAGCTTTCTTAACAACACACACTCCATGATGGCAGCAAGTACCATGAGATTATTTGGTGTCCAGAAGACAAGCCAGTCCAGAAGTTTTCCTGTTGAGACTCAAAGAAGAGGGTGAAGGGGGTGGCTGCTTGCTTTCTCTCTGGCAGCCTTTGGGATTTGACTGTGGATAGAATCTATGGTGTAGGATTCAGGGTATCTGCGTGATCCAATTACAAACTTTCTAGACTATCTATGCTCTTTCAAGACTAGAAGATTCATTTTCTAACTCATATGAACAGAGAATTTCATTCTTTTTAAGTGAAGGAAAAAAAAAAAGAAAAGAAAAAGCAGTTGGCTTCTTTTTCTTTGGCTTCCAGAGTAAAATCTACTCCAACCCAGGATGTTGGACGAAAACTTTGCTCATAACTCTTTTCCTGGAGGAATCTGTTCAAGTGGTGGAAGAACAATTAAGGATTTGCCAAATGCAAATCCTTCTAAATAGTTGTGTGCTCTTGTTCTACTTCTGCAACTGCAAATGAATAGAGAGAGGGAGAGAATCTGGAGGATCTTTCCATTCATGTCCTTGAGCTTTCCTTTCCCTTCTTTTCACACAGGAATGAAAAGCTCAACACTCATAAACATAGCCTCCTTGTAAGAGTATTCTTGAGATGATCTGCAAATTAGCCATCAAGATTAAATGATATTTTCAGTAAAAATATACAGTACCAGTGTTTTAAGCTGAATATTATTTTGCCCTAACACAACATCAACTAAGATGACTGTAGTTTTCTTATTTTTGTCATCACTTCTGGATTTTTGTGTCAACACCCCCAAATATAAAAAGACAATGGGTTTTGGTGTCTCAAGTTTTTAATATTGTTTGCAACATGATTGTTTTTCTCTTTAGCATTAGCATTTTAGATGTAACCCTTTGAATCTTTTAAAGATAAATTTATTATAAATGATAGTATATTTAATTATTAAATAATTTATTTGCATATTCTGGTAAATTGGCTTTATTATAACTAGCCAGAAATAATATATTGAAGCTCTGAAACAGTAGGCCAATTTGAATTAAACTTACATTTTTTCTGGGGTGTATATTTCTTGCTTGGTGATAGTTTTTATACCTTTGATATTTAAAATATTTTTGTATGTTCATTATAGACACGTTAGGAAATATGGAACACAAAACATTTTTAAAACATTGCCTGCGGTGTCACCAACCAGAAATAATGTGTTAACCTTTTCTTCATAGACTTTCTGAAACTTCATTTGTATTCACATACATATTTGAAAATGTGTATTTCTTTTGTAAAATTGACTATTATATATATTGTTCTATACCATGAATTTTTAAAATCAGCTCTATAATAAAAATATTCTATATAGCTATATTTACTTCTTTACACTAATTTCTAAAGGCTTCAAAAGATTTCCTTGCATGAATAGACTGTAATTTGTTAGACATTTAGATCATTTAGATGTTTTAACTTTTATTATTATTATTATTATTATTATTATTATTATTATTATTTGTTACTGGCAGTGGGTCTCCAGCAGTTTAATGAAACATACCCAGAAGTCTTTTAGTAGAGAAACCTATGTAACATTGCATAACCCAGTGTTTCTCAAACTACCTCTTCATTGTTCTGACAAAATGTAGTTCTAGAAAACTAGTTTCAGTATCTCGTTGGCCACTGGTATCAGATAGACAGTAAAGAAGAATCTCTATGTCCTTATTTTCTAAGAATTTGTGTTTCTTTTTTAATCAGGAATGGATGTTAAATTTTATCACCTGATGTTTAGCATCTACTGAAACTTTATTATTTTTTTACTTTGAATTTTTTCAGCTTTATTGAGATGTGATTAACAAATAAAATTTGTCTAAATTTAAGATATACAATGTGATGTTTTAATATTTATTATAACATGTAACATTATAAATGTATATTCATTAATGTAATGATTTAGGTGAATAAAGTTCCTAGTATTGTTACATTTGTAAACTAGATCTTAGTTTTAGAATATATTACTTTGGATTTCCTAGTATTTAAAATATTAGCATCTCTGAGTTTCATCTGAAGTGTTTTTTTCCTTGTGCTATCTTAATAATATTTTGCTGTCCAGATAACTCTGACTTCTTAAAATGAATAGATTTTTTATCATCTGTTTTAATTGCCTACTATTTTCTCCTTAAAGGATATCTTTTGATAAAGCTCTCCTTATTATTTTGTGTAAGGGATCTATCCTTAATATTTTTGTTAACAGCTATTTTTCTCCTCTCATCTGTATCCCTACAGGTAATGAATATTTGCCAGAAAGTTATCTCTTTGGTCAAGACTTTGGAGTTATTTCTATATATTGTGCATAACTTTTGTTTTATACTTCTAAACATCTATGTTTAGAGCTCACTAATACTGTATTCTTAGGTCTTTGTCTTTTGATCTTGCTTACTATTATCTACTCTTTGTTTAGTTCTTTGGTTTTTAACATTTTTCCTGGTTCACTCAATTTTCCTTGCCCATTTCTTAAAAGATAAATTTATGCACCAAATAATCTAAAAATCTAATATTTAAAAAAGAAAGGAAGAGGCCCTTGCTCTACTCTTCTCAACTTGTTTCTTACTCCCTGGAGGAATCCCCTCCAGTTTTAATTGTTCAGGTCTTACTTTTGATATATAACTCCATATTTCAAAATAAATTCTTGATTTTTCACTTTGGATAAGTTATCTATGAATTCAGACAGTGAAGGATAAAGTTTAGGAAACACAGAATAAGTATTACATAAAGTCAAGGTAATATACACATAGGCAGAATAAACCTAAATTTTCTAAGCACATTAAATTTTACTCCTAATGTAATTCCTTTAATTAGTGTGTTGAAAATATGCAAGATTTCTATTAACATGCAAATGCATCATTAGGGTGATCCAGAAATTATTTTGTTTTTTTAATCTCTTCACTTCTTTTTCAGGCAGGTATTGAGCCATGCAGAATCCTAAAGAAGTAAGGAGAAAATAGGTTCAGAACATGCGAATCTGTCCAGGGCTTGATAAAGATGGGAGGATGGGAAATTAAACATAGGAAGGGAGCCATCTTTCTTTTCTTTTTTGTTTTTTTAGGCATGTACGTTGCCTTTTTTTTCTAAATGAAAATTTCTTTTTTTATTTCATTTTTTATTTTATTTTATTTTATTTTATTTTATTTTATTTTTTTACAAATAGTTTATTGTCAAATTAGTTTCCACATAACACCCAGTGCTCATCCCCACAAGTGCCCGCCTCCATGCCCATCCCCCCTTCCCTCCCCCAAAATCCATCACTCCTCAGTTTTTGTCAGCATTCAAGAGTCTCTCATGGTTTGCCTCTCTCCCTTTCCCCCACCATTTCCGCCCTTCTTCTCCCCCTTGTTCCTCCATCAAGTTCCTCCTAATCCTCCTATACGTGCACACATATGATATTTGTCCTTCTCTGCCTGACTTATTTCGCTCAGCAGAACACCCTCAAGGTCCATCCATGTTGCTACACATGGCCAGATTTCATTGTTTCTCATTGCCATGTAGTATTCCATGGTATGGATAAACCACATCTTCTTGATCCATTCGTCCGTTGATGGACACTTAGGCTCTTTCCATGTTTCAGCTATTGTGGAGAGTTCTGCTATGAACATTGGGGTACATGTGGGAGCCATCTTTCTTTAGCAGGCTAAAGTAACTTTTGCCTGAGTTAAATGTAAGCCAGAGGCCCAAATCATGCTGCTTCCTTATGTGTCAAACTAAAATGATACATAAATTGGTCCTCCGCTTTCTCTTTTTTTGCCATATTTTAAGCCTTACTTTGGATGCTGCAGATCTATAAGAATAACAGTGTGCTACTGTTGAGCATCAGTCTTTTCTACCCATTCTGTTAAAATAGATTAGAAGGCTTTAATGACTTAATTTTTTTTATTTTTTTTTATTTATTTTTTTAATTTCTAGGAGAGAGTGAGACAGCGTGAGCAGGTGAGGGTCAGAGAGAGAGGGAGTCACAGACTCTGAAACAGTCTCCAGGCTCTGAGCTGGCAGTCAGCACAGAGCCCGATGCGGGGCTCGAACCCACGAACCGAGAGATCATGACCTAAGCGAAAGTCGGACGCTTAACTGACTAAGCCACCCAGGCGCCCCAATGACTTAATTTTAATGAATCGATATTCAAATGGTTGAATTCCTCTTCCTTTCCTGCTTGCTTCTAGTTTAAGCTGGCAAGACCACAAAGTTAGCAAAATTCTGTCTCGTTATGTATTCCAAAGACAACATTTAAATTTATTCTTTGCCATAATGAGGCTTAAACTGGAAGGATTGAGAAAGAATGCTGGCTAAAGAGTCCTGATAGCTGGGTTAGTTAATCAAATATCCTGGTTAATTTTAATTGAAAAACTTTGCCAGTTTACTGTTGTAAAATAAGGTAGCTTCACATCAAACTGTGTCTCCATAATTGTGATCTGTGAAATAAAAACATTATTTAATAAAGAGTCGATTTGAACTTTTGTTTTGTTTTGTCTTTGTTTTTGTTTTACTTTCAAAAGCTACCTTGACAGGATCAGAGTCAAGGAATATTTTCATAATGGACACTTCATCCAAAGAAAATACACAGTTATTCTGCAAAAGTTCAATGCGACCTGTTGGGCGACCTTCCTTAACGACAGAATATTCTTCCTCAAAGGAGAAACAACAATGCTGTGGTGAACTGAAGGTAACAAACAATCAAACAGTAAACAACCAAACAACCCTATGTCGTGAACTAAAGAGTAAAAAGGAATTAGGTGGGTGGAGGAAAGGGGGATGGATAATTTAGTGGAGTTCATGTTTTTTACTCTCCATCTAGATGTTTGCTACACAATTTTATAATTCATGTTTCAATACAATCACATATTTTCCATATGTAGTTAGAAGCAAGGATCTTTTTTCCTTTTTAAAAAGTATCTTTCATGCAATTTATTAAAACCACACTTTCCCAGGCAGTGAAAGCAATCTCTCCCTACCATGCAGGTTGTTACTATATATTACTTTCAGGCCCCATTTGAATGCCCCTCCTACACTGAAACAAGAGAGAGAAGAAACTAATGTTTATTCAATTTCTACCATGTACCAGATATTATGCTAAGTATCATTACAACATTTAATCTTTGCAATGTCCATATTATTCCCATTTTGTAAATGAAAATTTTGAACTTTCCTTGCTGCACAGTAAGGGGTGGCATTGCTTTTTAAAAGTGCTCAGTGTGACTCCCAAGTTTCTATTCTTTGTACCAAACATTCACTCAGCAAATATATGTGTGTGTTTTCGTACAAATGCTCACCTATTCTATGGATACTCCATCACAGACTCAAGTCTGGCAAAGTACCTTAGCCGGCTATTAAAAAGTGTGAATTTAACTTGAATATAAACTCAATCACAAGGATAGTAGTCATACTTCTTTTGGTCTATTATGTTCCTTGCTGGTGCCTGGCACCACTGTAAAACAGACAGTCATGAGTAGTAGCCTTGATAAGATGTTAAGTGTTTGATTTTATATTCTTGTTTTATTTTCTTACCTACGAATGGCTCCTTCCACTCTTTGCTTCACCATAAAATGAATCTTCTTTTCAAAGTGAAGACTCCTTTAAGTGTCCTTGGGAGGGGGAGGGGAAAGAAGGGAAGAAACAGAATTCAATATACATTCTGAAGGAAATCTGTTTCGGAATTTGTACTTTTAGGAATCTACATGAGCTTGAGGCTGAAGAAAGCCTGTACCTTTCCTTGAGAGAAATTGTCAGTGATATCAAGCTTGTTAGGTTGTTCTTGGTTTGCATTTTTGTCTATTTGTTTAGTAAGTTAACACTTGTGTGTCAAGCTGGAGTCAGACTGTGTGACTTGTTGTATTTTCCAGGTATTTTTGGGTGCCTTGTCTTTCGTTTACTTTGCCAAAGCATTGGCAGAAGGCTATCTGAAGAGCACCATCACTCAGATAGAGAGAAGGTTTGATATACCCTCTTCACTGGTGGGAGTTATTGATGGTAGTTTTGAAATTGGTAGGTATTGCAGATACCTGGCTTTACTTTTAAGTACAAAGTCTTCTAGGCATGACTAAATGACATCCTCACTGCTTTCTGTTGTTGCTAGGATCAGACTCTCTCTGTAAATTCATGTTTAGACAGAATTTGCTAGGGTCTGTTACAGTGGAGGCAATTAGTTCTCTCCAAGCAACTAACGATGCGTTTCCTGCCCCAGGTGTTCACTGTTATATGACTCATACAATTCAGAGTTTCCAATCAGAGCAAAAAGCTTTCCTAGAGGAGAGGTGAGATGATATTGGGATTTTGAGTTAAAAATATTTGGAAAGTGTCTTTATAGAAGAGTTATATATCCTGAGAGCCCTGTGATTCAAAACTGGGAAGAATTCACATGGGCTCTACAAAACTTTATTGTAATGATTTAAAAACTGAAACCATAAAAGAAGTTTTCTGCCCAGTGTGCTAGAAAGAAGAGAAAGAAATCCTATTAATGAGAACAGTAGAGCAAAGCAGGCAAGAAAACTTCTTCTCGGATGTCTTCGGTAGCAGTTGACTAGAGACTTCCTCTTGGCACTTGAAAAGACCAGGTGATTTCAGTCACTGTGTTAGAAGTACTTTAAAATGTATAATCACGCTTAGAGATTCCTGAATTGATAAGCTACAAGGCTATAATGCTTTGTTGAAATAAAGAAACAATTGGGGTCCTTACTACCATGGGTCTCAAATATATACTATATGAAGTAAACTCTCTAATGGCTCTAGGTTCAGCTCATGTGAACTTAAAGAAATGTGAAGAAATATTTTTCAACTCTTCAACAATGACTGTTTTAGTTCATACTATATATTTCTGTTCGTACCCTGAATATCACAGAAATAATTAAAAGAATGAATAGTGACCTTTTACCTTCAGAGTTTTCTTACCAATTCCATCTTTCATCATCTTACCCAACAATGGGATTGCTTAGCTCAGTACTAATCATATGTTAATGTACATGTGAATAACTGGGCAACCTGGTGAGAATGCACATATTGATTCTGTAGGAAGAGGAATAAGACTCTGCCTTTCTAACAGGCTCCCATATCACATAAAGCTGTTATTCAGTGGGCCATATTTTGTGTAGCAAGTTTCTGAAACATCTGATCATATCACACTCTTGAGTAAATTCCTTAGATAGGCCTGGATAGTTGATGTAGAACTTGTTGCCTGTCTTGTCTATAACCCGAAACTGAATGAAGGGCCATGGAGAGTCAAGATAAGGGTGACACACTTAATCACAGGGAAAAATGAGTATCAAAAGGCAATTAGTACCAACTGAAAGAATAAATGACACTTACAGAAAGAACAAATGAGCAGATAGAAAATTATATATTAAGTGGTACTTATTGCTTACTCTAGATTATAGTATAAAAACATTTTGGAGCTGAAAGGACTTAGAATATGGTCCAAACTTGAGTCCCCAGGTGCTGATACAACTTGAGAGAGTCTATATTTGATACAGAGTCCTCCTGTTTCCCAGAAGTGACAAAGGACCCTGAGAATAAATTGATATTAATTCTTCTGGACTATTCTAATAGAAGCCGTTTATTGAAGTAGATACAGTAAAACTCCTTGAAATCCTCTCACTTCCATTGCAAACCTTTGGTCCAAACATCACTAGGTTTGCTCTAGTTATTTGCAATCCACAGTTTTTCAGAAAAGTGGCTTTTCCTGACCATAATCTTACTTTATTCCTTTTGCCTCTCTCCACATTCCTTCCTTCCAGGATTCTGGACACACTCTCCCCGTTTCTTCTTATTTGCATAACAATCTCATTTATCCTTTGGCATCTGTTGGCATTATTATCTAATGTCCACACACCAGATACTCATTTTTTTCCCAAGTATTTTTTCAAACCAAAGACTTTCTCCAACAACAGAAAATAAAATGTTTTCTAGATTATCACCTCCTAATATATCCAGATACTCTTCCTTTCAAATGTTTTCCCATGTGTTCTTATAAATATTTAAAAGTTTTGCTTTTCATATTTTAGTATTTAATCAAATTCATGTGGGTGTTATAAAAACTTTGTTTCTTAGAGTAGTTTGGGGTTCAGATCAAAATTAAGTGGTAGGTACTGAGATTTTTCATATATCCCCTACTCCTACCTATATAAAGCCTCCTCCATGATCAACATCCCCCTCCAGAATGGTACACTGATTACAACTGATGGACCTATGATAACATTATTATCATTCAGAGGCCATACTTCATATTAAGGTTCACTTTTTGTTTGTGTAATCTATGGGATTGAAATATATATATAACATATATGTATAAAATGGTACATATCCATACAAACTACTTTCACTGCCCTAAAAATCCACATGTTCTACCTATTCTTCCATCATTTTCCCCTCCCCTCTGGCAACCACTGTCTCCATAGTTTTGCCTTTTCCAGAATTTCATATCGTTGGAGTCATACAGTGTGTAGCCATTTCAAATTGGCTTCTTTCACTTAGTAATATGCATTTGGGGTTCCACCATGTCTTTTCATAGCTGGATAGCTCATTTCTTTTTAGTGCCAGATAATAATCCATTTTCTGGATAGGCCTTAGTTTATTTGTCCATTCATCTACTGAAGGACATGTTGATTGTTCCAAAGCATTAGCAATTATGAATAAAGATGCTATAAACATCCCTGGGCAGATTTTTGTGTGGACATGTTTTCAGCTCCTTTGGGTAAATACCAAGAAGTATAATTGCTGGATCATATGGAGAAAATTATATTTAGTTTTGTGAGAAACTGCCAAATTGTTTTCCAAAGCTTCTGTACCATTTTTCATTCCCACCAGCAATGAACAAAAATTTCTTTTGCTCCATGCCCTCCCCAGCATTTAATACTTTGGATTTTGGCCATTCTAATAAGTGCATAGTGGTATCTCATTTGCATTTCAATTTACAGTTCACTTACATCATATGATGTTCACTATCTTTTCATGTGTTTATTTGCTATCTGTAAATCTTTTTTGGTGACCTATCTGTTAAGTTATTTGGCCCATTTCTTAATTTCACTGTCTGTGCTCTTATTATTGAGTTTTAAGTGTTCTTTTTATATTTTTGATGACAGTCCTTTATCTGATATGACTTTTGTAAATATTACCTGTCAGTCTGTGGCTTGACCTTTTATTCTCTTTCCATTATCTGTAACAGAGCAGAAACTTTTAATTTTAATGAAGTCCACCTTATTCATTTTTTGTCACAGATTATGTTTTTGGTGTTGTATCTGAAAAGTCATCACTAAACCTAAGGCCATCTAGGTTTTCTCCTAAATTATCTTCTAGAAGTTATAAAACTTCTAGAAAACTGTAAAGTTTTGCATTTTACGTTTAGGACTGTGATATATTTAGACTTTATTTTTGAGCAAGGATTATCCTTGCTCTATCTTATTACATTTGCTCCTTTGTTAAAGATCAGTTAACTATATTTATGTAGGTCTGTTTCTGGTCTGTGTATTCTGTTCCATTAATCTATTTGTCTATCTATTCACCACTGTTACACCGTCTTGTTTAATGTGGCTTTGTAGTATTATAGTAGAGTAGTATAGTAGAGTACTATAGTAGTATAGTAGAGTTTTCTGAATAGACAATCATATTGTCTGAGATTGCAATCAGTTGTATATTATTCCTTCCAGTTCTAAGTCTGTTATTTCTTGTTGTTTGCCTTATTACATTGGCCTCAGTACTACTTTAAATAGAAGCAGTGACAATGGGCATTCTTTTCTCTTATGTGGCCTTAATGAAAATGCTTTTATAATTTCACCATTAAGTAATATGTGTGCTGTATAATATGGTAGATATACTTTATTCTTTAAAAAATGTTCATGAGAGAGAGAGAGAGTGATGAGGGAAGGAGGGAGGGAGAGAGAGAGAGACAGAGACAGAGAAAAAGAGAGAGAGAGAGAGAAAGAGAGAGAGAATCCCAAGCAGGCACCATGCTGTCAGTGCAGAGCCCAACAAGGGGCTCAGTCTCACAAACCATGAGATCATGACCTGAACCGAAATCAAGAGAGAGATGCTTAAGCAACTTAGCCAGCCAGGTGCCCCCTTGTAGATATACTTTAAAAGTTAATATGCTCAAATATTTTTCTTATCATAAATGAGTGGTTAATTATGTTGTATGCTTTTACTACATCTGTTAGGATAACCATGGAATTTTTCTCCTTCTATAATTTAATACATGATTAAATTAATATATTTTTTCTTATTTGGTAGTACCCTTGCACTTCTGGAACAAATTGAATTTGGTATTTACTTTCATTGTCTTTGTCTAGTTTTGGTTTCAAGGGTATATAAGTGTTATGAGTTGGATGGCTTTCTTTTCTGTTATCTAAGCACTGTGTGTGCGTGTGTGTGTGTGTGTGTGTGTGTGTGTGTGTGTGTGGAAGAAAGGGGGGCGGTGAGAATCTGTTCCTTAAAAGCTTGGCAAAACAATTTTAAAACATTCTGAATCTGTTGTCTTTTTCAGAAGCTAGTGATAGTATATGTGAAAGAATTTTGATATCCAATTTAAGTTTTTAGAGATTACTTATCGCCATTTATTTTCTCTGTGTATCTTCTGAGAACTCAGAGGAATACTAAATAAAGAAAGCAAAACTTCTATAGATGTCACATATACTAAAATGATTTTATGTAGTCTTTGGCACACTGACTAATGTAATACAGAAACAATTTGTAAACCCGAGTCCTTCTTTGTGAAGTGTTGGTGGTGTGGGAGTTGGGGAGAGTAGGCAATGTTGGTTGCAGGGATACAATACCTATAACTGAAGGTCACCTTTCATTTTACTTTGGTTTCCTTACGGTACCACATTAACAAAAGTATAGACATAATTATCAATGTTATGATACAAAATTTCTTCTACCAAATGCTTAAATATCAAATGAGAAATCTCATACTCAATGTTTTGGTTTTACCCTGTGAAAATTAAAAGAAGTTTAATTCTGGAGCCATAAAATCTAGAGCCCCTGTGCAGGTTAATTTTCTCACTGTCATTATTGTCCTCAAGGCTATAAAAACTGCTGCTCTTTTTGCACTTGACTAAAACTGACAATGTGAACAAACAGTAGTAAATTAGATGATTGCTTACAGATGTAAGCAAACATACTCTTGCTAGAAAATTGGAACCATAGAAGAGAGCTTCAAAGCAACACTACCCATCAGGCATCACAATCAATTGGTGGGGAATTGCTAAGTTCTTACTCTGTCTAGCACTGAACATTTTAAAGACTATTCCAAATGCAAAGAACTGAAAGTTTAAAGCCTTTTGAAATCTAAGTTTCTAAGCAGTGTTTATCACATTATGTTCCAGGAACCATCTTCATCAGCACATTTTTAAAATTTATAAAAATATTTTACTTATTTCTGAGAGAAAGAGAGAGAGACAGCGTGAGCAAGGGAGAGTCAGAGGGAGGGGAAGACACAGAATCTGAAACAGGCTCCAGGCTCTAGGCTCTGAGCTGTCAGCACAGAGCCCGAAGTGGGGCTTGAACCCACTAACTGTGAGATCATGACCTGAGCCAAAGTTGGATGCTTAACCAACTGAGCCATCCAGGCGCCCCTCCATCAGCACATTTGAGCTGGTTTTAAAAATGCAGATTTCTTGGACTACCCCTAGATCCATAGAATCAGAAACTGCTAGAAACTCACAAGATACTACATTTTTAAGGTTTCTGTTTCCTTCACCATCTCCTTCTTATATTTTTGGGTATAGCAAAATATGAGGACATTTTCCTTAAAGCATGTTTAATTACTCATCACCATCATCAACTAAAAGTAATTTATCATATGCTTCTCTAGAGATATTGTCTACAAGCATAGTTTCTACTTTCAAAAAATTCTTTTTTGTATTAATATGAATTTCATAATTTGCTTTCATAAAGTAAGGTGCAGTTGTGTTTGTTGTACCTTTTCTAGAAAGGCTATCTGCTGAAGAAAGAATAGGTAGTGAATGTTTTATTAGCAAATGGGAAACTGATAAAAGTTTTAATAGCAAATACAAATGAATGAAAAACCGGTAATCAGGTTCACTTCCAAATCACTAAGGAAAACTTAAGAGAACACCTAAAGGAACTTTCTACAATTTGATTTACTGATAAAACACTTTAAAAGGACAAATAATTAGGGTGGATGACAATGAAGAAGTAGTTGTGTTGGTAATTAAAATATTTTGATAAATGGATGAGATAATTGAAGTAATGAGCATGAAGACAATTTCAACAGTCAACTCAGATTAAAGAGAAGAAAAATAGGATGGGAAAGACTGTGGGGAGAGAGTTTAGTTAAAACAAATGTTTGCCAGAACCGCTATAGACATTAATTCATTTAATGTGCCGATGACTTTTTCTAATTTATCTAACTGATGTACATTTTATTCTTTACCTGAAGGGAATCTCTTAGTTATAACATTTGTTAGCTACTTTGGAGCCAAACTTCACAGGCCAAAAATAATCGGAACAGGGTGCCTAATCATGGGAGTTGGAACACTGCTCATTGCAATGCCTCAGTTCTTCATGCGGCAGTAAGTCTAAAGCACTTATTGTTTTCTTGATTTAACCAACTGTATTCCTCCCTTTTTATAATTACACTTAATTATTCAAATTTAAGAAAATGACACATGGCTTAAAGCATGATAATTTATATACTTTTTTGTTATGTCGTCTGGGCAACATTTCAGAATACTTACAACTTTGTGTATAATTTAATAATCTGTAAAAAATTTATATACAACTATGTATTGATGTCAGCAAAAACTAAAGGGAAATTTCACTAATATATCTTCATTCAAATATTTATCTGTGGAGACAAAATAAGTAAAAAATGTATATATTGTGGTAGATGTCAAATGGATAATGAATGAATGCTTCTAAAAATATGGTGGATCACTTGACTGTCAGTCATTGACTAAGGATAGTTTATCAATTCAAATAGCTGTTCAGTATCCAAATACTATCTCATAGAGCTTTTTCAGTTGAAGCAGGTTGTCTATATCCTTTACCCCTGAAGTCTACCTCTGGTACTTTTGCTAGTAAGTTTGTTAGTATTTGCATACAACTTTAGTAGTTCCAGAGATTTTCCATCATCATTATATCATTTCACCATTACCTATGAAGAGCATAGTTTGTAGAAGAGCATAGTTTGTCTTTTTTACTTTAGAGCTAATGATCATGACGTAGAGAGACAACTTTTTCAAGGTTAGGTGTCCTGTAATTATAGAAATGGACAGTCCCTGGTACCTCTGGAATTATTAAAGAAAGAAAATTGTATTTATCATGATTTTAATGCTAAATGTTTTCTTGCATAGCTAAGAATTGACAGTTATCCTCATTAAGTGGTTCTTAAATTATTTTGGTCAAAAAAACTTATTTTGGTCAGAGAACCATATGATAAAAGTAACAAAAACTCTGAACTTCTTCCCTTAAATACTAACATAAATACAAAATTATTCTTACTTTGAGAATGTAAATTGAATATTCAACCCATAATTGTTACTCATGGCTGACCAGGATATTATCTGGCTTTGTATCTGCATTGTTCATCATAGAACAGGTCATAGAAAGGTCAATGTCTGCAGAGTTCCTATACAGATTCATTTCCCAGTTTTGAGAGTTGTTCTTGTAAGTTCACTCCCCTTCCTGCCTATTAAAATTCTATTCTTCAGATACTAAAAAAAAAAATGTTCTTTTTCTTTTTTTTTTTTTTAATGTTTTATTTATTTTTGAGAGAGATAGACACAGCGTGAGCAGGGGAGGGTCAGAGAGAGGGAGATGCAGAATCTGAAATAGGCTCCAGGCTCTGAGCTAGCTGTCAGCACAGAGCCTGACTCAGGGCTTGAACCCATGAATCGTGTGATCATGACCTGAGCCAAAGTCAGACACTTAACTGACTGACCCACCCAGGTGCCCCTTTTCTTACTTTTTTTTGGGCTCCATGGACCTAGCAAGGTATAGATTATCCAAAACTGATATAAGGTGACCCATCTATCAGTCTGTATATTTTAAAAACTCAACACATCTTTTTCTTACATGATTGTTATTGCTAATATTACAAATATTACTCTGATTACTAGTCTTTAGTCACATGGTACCTGAACAAAAAGAGAATGACGATGATGTTAAGAAAAAGATGCTATTGTGTTGTCCTTTTATCAGGTACCTCTTTTTGGAGGGTGCAGTGGAGCAGAGGAATTGGCTCATGACAGATAATTTGAGAGGGAGCATGGCTGCAGAACTGAAGATAGAATTATCACATTGCTACCATTCAGCATTGGCTTTTCAGTCTAGCTGCCATTGTAACCTTACATCAGAGGAAAGAATGGAATTAGAAATAACTTAGAGCCAGAACAAAAAACCCTAGAAAAAGTACCATCCAGATAAATAGTTCAAAAATCCCCTTTTCTCAGAGGAGAGGAAGATGGCAGCAAAATAGGCAGACCCTAGGCTCACCTCATCCCATGAACACAGATAGATAACTGTCAAATCATCCTAAATACCCCAGAAACCAACTTGAAGACTGACAGAACAAACTCCACAGAGAGGACACATGGAAGAAGGTAGGAAATGCAGAGATGTGGTATAGGAGAGAAATGAATCACAGGTGCTGCAGAAGGGAGGTAGTTGTGGTCACAGAGAAGGCAGAGAGAGAAGAACACACAGGGGAATGTACAAGGAGAAAGTTTCTCCAAAGCCATTGGCGTGGAAAAAAAGAGAGGCTGAACCTCATAAGTTCTTGCAACTAGCAGGGCATACAGTTTGGAGTTTAAAGGTCAGTAGGCCTGGCTAACAGAGTCCAGAGGGCACTGTGCTGCTCCTGGAAAGAAGGCAGGCAAACAAGTCAGGGGCATACAGCATGGAAACAGCGATCTGAAGAGCACCTGGAGCACACAGGGGTGAAATTATTCTCTCTTCTTGTTTAGCTTGGAGCACATTCCTGAGAGATCCCTTAGAGACCACATTCACAGAGATGCCTCTCAGAACAAAGGAGCTGGCTGGTTCCATTGCCCTTCCCCACTGTCCCTCAGCATAAACACAGAACCATCTGCTAGAAGCAACACAGCACCAACACTGGCTTCCTAACTTGCTTATACCAAGCGCCACACCCCTGTGCTCTGGCAGGACTGCTCTACTCCATCAAGCTTGCTCAGTCCCAGTGCAGCAGGCTCCACCCTCAGAAGACCAGCATAAAACCCTGCCCACACCATGTCTCCCTACCAGAGTTCTCCAGGGTCTCAGTTCTGACAGAAGCAGTATCAAGTCTCATTTCATGACTAAACCACAGCACACCTAGGTAAAACTCACCACATTCAGGCTAGGGACTAAACACTGCCTGCAGCAGGTAACAAGAGCCTCTGAGGATGACAACTGGCCTGAAGGATAGATCAGCTACAACAAAACAGCAAAACACATGCAGCACATGCCTGAGACACCCGCTTAAGCACTAGGTCCTGAACACTTCGTAACCTCTTCATAAACTCATTACTTTCAGGCACAGGAGACATAATTGGCTTTTCTAACACAGAGAAGAAGACACAGACTTAGGCAAAATGCAAACATAGAGGAGTTTATCCCAAATGGAAGCACAAGATAAGGCCACAGCCAGAGATCTAAGTGAAGCAGTTATAATATACCTGATAGAGAATGAGAATAGAAGAAATCAGTGAGATTCTTACCACAGAGATAACAGTGTTAAAAAAAGAATCAGAAATGAAGAGTGCAATAAACAAGGCTTGATGAAATAATCAGCATCTGGAAGAAGCAGAGGAATGAATTATTAACCTAGAGGACAAAACAATGGAAAATAATGAAGCTGAACAAAAGAGAGATAGAATTATGGAACATGAGAATATACATAGGAATTCAGTAACTCCATCAAATGTAAAAGCATTCATAGTGTAGGAGTCCTAGAAGAAGAGAGAAAAAAGGGTGCAGAAAAATTTTTTGAGGAAAATAATAGCTGAAATCTAGGGAAGGAAACAGACATCCAAATCCAAGAGGCACAGAAAACTCCCATCAAAATCAACAAAAGCAAGCCAACAAGACGTATTGTAATTAAATTTGCAAAATATAATGATAAAGAAACTAAAGGCAGAAAGTCAAAATAAGTCCTTAACTTATAAGGGAAGACTCGATAAGGCTAGTTGCAAATTTCTCAACAGAAACTTGGCAAGCCAGAAGCAAGTGGCATGATATAGTCAAAGTGCTACATGGGGAAAATCTGTAACCAAGAATACTCTGTCCAGCGAGGTTATCAATCAGAATAGGAGAGATAAAGTTTTCCAGACAAACAAAAACTAAAGGAGTTTGTGACCAGTAAACCAGCCCTGCAAGAAAGTGCAAAGGAGAGACCAAACATGACAAAGACAAGAAAAGATCAAAAAATCTCCAGAAACAATGACAAAACAAATAATAAGATGGCAGTAAATACATATCTATCAATAACTACTATGAATATAAATGGACTAACTAATAAAAGACATATGGTGTCAGAATGTTTTAAAAAAATCCATCTATATGCTGCCTACAAGAGACTCATTTTAGACCTAAAGACACTTGCAGATTAAAAGTGAGAGGATGGAGAAACATTTAACATGCAAATAGATTTGACATCCAAGTCAAAACCCAGAGTAGCAATACTTATATCAGACAAAATGGACTTTAAAACAAAGACTGTAACAAGAGACAAAGAAGGGCACTGTCTCAAAATAAAGGGGACATTCCAACAAGAAGATCTAGCAATTTTTATGCAACCAACATTGGAGCACCCAAATATATAAAATAATAAAAAACATAAAGGAACTAATTGATAATAATACAATAAGAGTAAGGGACTTTAACACCCTCCTTACCTCAATGGACAGATCATCTAAGCAGAAAGTAAACAAGGAAAAAATGGCTTTGAATGACACACTGGACCAGACGGATTTAGATATATTCAGAACACCTCAGCCTAAAAGAGCAGAATACATATTGTTTTCAAGTGCACATAAGATATTCTCCAGAATAGAGAATTATCTATTAGGCCACAAATCAGTCTTCAAAAAAAATTGAAATCAACCATACACTGACCATAACACTATGAAGTAAAAGTCAACCACAAGAAAAAATTTGAAAAGAACCACAAATACGTAAAGGTTAAATAACGTGCTACTGAACAATGAATGAGTCACCCAGGAAATGAAAGAAAAAAAAATACATGGAAACAAATGAAAATGAAAGCATGATGGTCCAAAACCTTTGGGATACAGCAAAAGCTATTTTTTAAAATGTTTTTAATGTTTGTTTATATTTGAGAGAAAGAGACAGAGAGAGAGTGCAAGTGGGGGAGGGTCAGAAAGTGACGGGGACACAGAATCTGAAGCAGGCTCTAGGCTCTGAGCTGTCCGCACAGAGCCTAAAGCTGGGCTCAAGTTCATGAACTGTGAGATCATGACCTGAGCCAAGTGGGACATTTAACTGACTAAGCCACCCAGGCTTCCCACAGCAAAAGGTATTCTAAGAAGGAAGTATATAGTGATACAGACCTACCTCAAGAAACAAGAAAAATTTCAAACAACCTAACCTTATACCTAAAGGAGCTAGAAAAAATAACAAATGAAATCTAAAGCCATCAAAAGGAGGGAAATAAATATTAGAGCAGAAATAAATGATACAGAAACTAAAAACAAAACAAAACAATATAGCCAGATCAATGAAACCAGATGCTGGTTCTTTGCAAATATTAACAAAATTGATCAACATCTAGTCAGACTTATCTAAAAGAAAAGAGAAAGTTCCCAAATAAATAAAATCACAAATGAGAGAGGAGAAATAAGAAGTAACATCATAGAAATGTAAACAATTATGAGATAGTAATATAAAAACCATATGCCAACAAATTCCTAGAAACATAAACTACCAAACCTGAAACAGGAAGAAATAGAAAACTTTAATAGACCTATAACCTGCAAAGATACCAAATCAGTAATCAAAAACCTCCCCAGAAACAAAAGTCCAGATACCTTCACAGGGGAGTTCTACCAGACATTTAAAGAAGAGCTAATACCTATTCTCAAACTATTCCAAAACATAGAAAAGGAAGGAAAACTTCCAAATTCACTCTATGAGACCAGCATGACCCTGATACCAAACCAGATAAAGACTCCACTAATAAAGAGAACTATAGGCCAATATTCCTCATCAACATAGATGCAAAAGTTCTCAAGAAAATACTAGCAAACCAAATCCAATAACATGTTAAAAAAAAATCATTCACCATGATCTGGGGCGCCTGGGTGGCTTAGTCGGTTAAGCGTCCGACTTTCGCTTAGGTCATGATCTCGCGGTTCGTGGGTTCGAGCCCCGCGTCGGGCTCTGTGCTGACTGCCAGCTCAGAGCCTGGAGCCTGTTTCAGTCTGTNTCGGGCTCTGTGCTGACTGCCAGCTCAGAGCCTGGAGCCTGTTTCAGTCTGTGACTCCCTCTCTCTCTGACCCTCCCCTGCTCATGCTATCTCTCTCTCTCCTAGAAATAAATAAAAACATTATTAAAAAAAAAAAACTAAAAAAAAAATCATTCACCATGATCAAGTGCGATTAAGGGTGGTTCAGTATTCACAAATGAATCAATATGATATACCACATTAACAAAAGAAAGGATTAGAACCATATGATTATTACAATAGATGCAAAAAAGAAAGCATTTGACAAAGCACAAATCTTTTCATGATAAAATATCCTCAACAAAGTAGATTTGAAGGGAACTTACCTTAACATAATAGACATGTACTCTAAAAACTATAAAACACTGAGGAAAGAAATTGAAGATGACACAAATAAATGGAATGACATTCCATGCTCATGGATTGGAATGTTTATACTACCCAAAGTAATCTGCAGATTTAATGCAATCCCTATCAAAATACCAACAGCAGTTTTCACAGACCTAGAACAAAGAATCCTAAAATATGTATGAAACCACAAAAGACCCCAAATATCCAAAGCTACCTTGAAAAAGCAAAGCAAAACTGGAAGCATCACAGTTCCAGACTTTGTGTTGTGTTACAAAGCTGCAGTAATCATGACAACATGGTACCAGCACAAAAACAGACACATAGATCAATGAAATGGAATAGAAAACCAAGAAATGAACCCACAACTGTATGGTCAGCAGTCTTTGACAAAGCAGGTAGAATATCCAATAGGGAAAATACAGTCTCTTCAACAAATGGTGTTTGGAAAACGACAGCAATATGCAAAAGAAAGAAACTAGACTACTTTCTTATGCCACACCCAAAAATCAAAATGGATTAAAGACCTAAATGTGAGACCTTAAACCAGAAAAATCATAGAGGAGAACACAGGCAGTAAACTTTCGCATCAGAAGTACCAATTTCTGGGGCACCTGGGTGGCTCAGTTGGTTAAGTATTCGACTTCAGCGCAGGTCATGATCTCACAGCTCCTGAGTTCAAGCCCTGCATTGGACTTTGTGCTGACAACTCAGAGCCTGTAGCCTGCTTCAGATTCTGTGACTCCCTCTCTCTCTGCCCCTCCCCTGCTCACACTCAATCTATATCTCTGTCAAAAACAAATAAACATTAAAAAAGTACCAACTGTTTCTAAATATGTCTCCTGAAGCAAGGGAAACAAAAGCAAAAATAAACTATTGGTATTTCAGCAAAATAAAAAGGTTCTGCACAGTGAAGGAACCAAATAACAAAACTAAAAAGCAACCTATGGGCTGGAAAAAGATATTTGCAAATGACATATCTGATAAAGGGTTAGTACCTAAAATCTCTACAGAACTTATAAAACTCAACACTCAAAAACAAATAATCCAATTAAAAATTTAAAAGTCCAATTAAAAAAGACATGAATACACATTTTTCCAAAGACATCCAGATGGCCAACAGTCATATGAAAAGATGCTGAATATCACTTATCATTAGGGAAATACAAATTAAAACTACAGTGAGATACCACCTCACACCTGTCAGAATGGCTAAAATCAACAACCCAAGAAACAACAGGTGTTGGCAAGGTTGTGGAGAAAGGGGAACCCTCCTGCACTGTTGGTTAGAGTGCAAAGTAGTGCAGGCACTATAGAAAACTGTATGAAGATTCCTCAAAATGTTATGATCTAGCAGTTGCACTACTAGGTATTTACCCAAAGAATACAAAAATACTAATCTAAACAGTTACGTGCACCCTGGTATTCATAGCACTATTATCCATAATAGCCAAATTATGGAAACAGCCCAAGTGTCTATTGACTGATGGATGGATAAGGAAGAAGTACCATATGTATTTTATTATTATATAATATATATTTTGGTGGAATATTATTTAGCCCTAAAAAAGAATGAAATCTTGCTAGTTGCAATGACATGGATTGAGGTAGAGTATTATGCTAAGTGAAATAAGTCAGTCAGAGAAAGGCAAACACCATATGATTTCACTCATGTGGGATTTAAGAAGCAAAACAAATGATCGAAGGGGGGAGAGGGAGAGAGAGAGAGAGACCAAGAAACAGACTCTTAACTATAGAGAACAAACTGATGGTTACCGGAAAGGAGTTGAGTGGGGGAGAGTTAAATAGGTGATTAGGATTAAGGAGTGAATTGGTTGTGATAAGCATCAGGTATTGTATGGAAGTGTTGAGTTACAAAAAAATATATTGTATACCTGTAACTAATATTACAGTATATGTTAACTAACTGGAATTTTAAGAGTTTTTTTTTTTTTAAGTTTTTTAAAAACCCACATATCATCATCAATTCTCTAGAATCAGCAGTGCAGTCATTCTACTAAATTTACAACTCCAAATACAGCGTACAGCACCATAGTTTTTAAACTATTGCTTTTCCTCTGATTTGGAGATAGTCATGATTTTATCAAACATTGGACATTTTTTCACAAAGAGAGTAGGTGATTTATAGTCATTATTTATACATTAAAATGAATGTGAATAATTCTTTTATTTTCTTTTACTACACTGTTGAGATATGGTGCAGTACCTGTGAATGAGACTTTCTGGCTCTCTCTTCAGGGCACTTTGCTGTTAAATACTGGTTTGGTTTAGTGATTCAGATTCAAGGGTAGTTGAAAATCCAAACAGGTTCCATAATGAGTCATGTAGTGTACATTTAATATTTTTGGTATGATGTTAAATGAATCTGTAGTGAAGAAAACACTCCTTTTTCAGGTACAGATATGAAAAGTATTCTCCTCTCTCTAATTCCACTCTCAGCATCTCTCCATGTCTCCTGGAGTCAGACAATCAATTACCTATCTCAATTACAGAAAAATCACAACCCAAAAGAAGTGATGGTAAGACGATTTTTTACTTGAATAAGATAGTTTTTTATAAAGACTCTATATTGCTCTAGTATGAACAAAAATATATATATGATGTTTTTCTGTCAAAAGGTTTACTACTTCAATTGAAATACTATAATGCCATAAAAATTCCTAGAATATAAGGCAGTATATGACGAGATCTGAAGAAATATTCAGAGAATAAAAGCTTATGTAAAGCGCATTAATTTCTGGCAACTGAGAAAAGCTTCCCACAGTTCTAAATAAGGTGGGCCATGAAATTAGGATAAAACTAGCTTAGCACATACAAATCTCAGTCCAGTGTTCAGATACAAATGAAATATATTCTTCCCAAGATCTCAATTTAACTTCTGAGTTCAGCACATTTCCATCAGAATGGGAAAAATTGAATCTCACTCAACCTGTCCCTAACCTACCTTTCCCCGGGGTTTGCTTACATTCTAGGGAGGTCACATAAAAGTAAAGGGGGAAGTTGTGGGAGTGACCCTCTTGGTGTTATTGGTCCCCTCTCAACTTAGATATTTTAAATCCGTCTGAAAAATAAAAAATAAAAAAATCTTCTGGCCACAGTGTTTGGTCACTTCAGGGCCATCCCATGTCTACCTTTAGGTCCTTTATGTTAGCACAGCAGCTCTTCCTGATGCAGATGTGACAATCCTGGAAACTTGGGAATAATCCTGTTTTCTACACAAGACAGGATGCAGGGAATTTTGTCAGGATGTCTAGAATTCCATATGACTGATGTGTATTGTATAGCAATGCTTTGTGTGAGCCACCCTTGGGAACGTGGAATTCGTCTCTTGGAAACCTTTTGAGGAGCCAAAAGCAGGACACTTAGCCACAATGTACTACAGAGGTAGCCATCTTATCTTTTGGGTTTTGCTACCTCCCTGGGCTCTACCATGGTGGCCCAGGTTCTTCCTGCTCAGGGAATCTATAAATCTCCCCACATGTGTTTGCCACGTCTCTGGGATGATACACAGGCAGGAGCTCAAATGCCCTCTCTCCACTGCCCTTGAGCATTGACATGCTCAGCGCTTCCCCTCATTACTTCCACCTCACTCCGTATTCCTGGCCTACAGATTGCTGTATAGGCAGTGTGGAAGCTTCTCTTTTCTTTACCTGCTAGTCATGCAAATCTTTTATCTATACCATAAAACCTTTTCTTTCTCCTAATATTATCATCAAGGCTTTCTTCTGAGATGTCATTTTTCTGAGCAATGAACTCCAGAGGTCTGGTTATTTGAATGAAGGGAAGGGCCAGAGGATTAATAGAAATATGAAACAGGAAGGTAGGGAAGATGTAAACATGTAAAAAATGTGCCCCACTCTGCTGTATGAAAAGAAGAAGAAAAGCCCTCTGGAAGAAGAGTGTGAAATGTGGGTTTGGACTTTCACCTCCACATAGTGTAGTCGTCAAAGATATTTTATTTTTGGTTTTGATAGGAAAGGTGATATAAATGGCAGTACAACTAATTAGAAAATATTTAAAACTTTAATGTTAAGAGAAACATAGCATCTACAGGTGGGAATTAAAAAATTTTTTAATATGGGGCACCTGGGTGGCTCAGTCAGTTAAGCGTCCAACCTTGATCTCCACTCAGATCAAGATCTCATGGTCATGGGATTGAGCCCCAGGTCAGGCAGAGCCTGCTTGGGATCCTCCCTCTCTCTCCCTCCCTCCCTCCCTCCCTCTCTCTCTCTCTCTCTCTCTCTCTCTCTCAGAGCCTGCTTGGGATCCTCCCTCTCTCTCCCCTCCTCTCTCTCTCTCTCTCTCTCTATCTCTCTCTCAAAATAAATAAACAAACTTAAAAAATGTTTTTAATGTAGAGACAAGTTATTACACAGGTATACAATATAAGACTCACAATCTTATCCTGTCCTTTAAATGAGGTCCTTCTCCCTTAAAGTCATAGATCTGTGTGAACATCAGATCTGTTGAACACAAAGTTTATCCATATGATAGCGGGGTGAAAATAGGACTCTTCTCAAAAATGTTCCACCTACAGTCCCCATTCCCACGACACTGGAGAGCAGAGCTGTCAAAAAGAATTCTCTGTGACAGTAGGACTGTTGTATATCTATGCTGTCCAATACAGTAGCCATTAGCACATGTGACTGTTGAGTTCTGTAATATAGCTAGTGTGACTAAGGAACTGAATTTTCACTTTTCTGTAACTTTAATTAATTTACTTTTCAGTAGCCATATGTGTGTTTTGGAAAACACAGATTTAATCTATCTTTACGTGTCTACAAGATTTTCCTACCAACAAGCATCTTGGGATCACACAAATGTTAGGGGTAGAATTGACATTAAGATCAACTGTTTGGAAAAAGAATTCACATTATATTTCTGGGAGTGGAGTAGAAATCTAGAAAACATAAGTGAAAAATGCTTGGTCAGTTGGCTACATTTTTAGAAGAGGCAGTATTAGAAGCAACATGACTATACAATAGTCTTGTCTATTACACAGTATGATTCATCTGCCCAAAAGAATTCATCCCAGTTCCAAAAAACGCATATTTTACATTCAAGTTTTACTTTAAGGGCTACTAATAAGTGGAAATAACTCTTACCTCATATGATTCTTATAGGGATTTAATTTAAAAATGCCTACAAACCACTCATCCCAGTGCCTGGCAGAAAAGGAGCACTCAGAAGCGGTGATTGTTGGAGATTAATAATATTATCACTTTTATTAAAGCGATCAAATTCTTCAAAGTATATTTCACTTGAGATGTGGGAGTAATTCTCCAGCTTTACCTGATTATATCAAGACATGACTTCTACAAAAACATTTTAAAATTGTTAGCTTTGAATTTCTAAGAATACAGCCAAAAGGTTCTTATTGTTAGAATAGTTATATTACTAAGCATATAGGGTTTTAAATTTTTATGTGACTTTGTTTCCTAAACTTGAGCCCTAAAAATGGCCATTCACTAACATACGATTGTAATGCTGTCCAAAGTTGAAGTATCGCCGATATAAAGTTTTGAATTTCAGATAAAATTTGGTCAGCAATAAAATTATAAGGGATTTCTGTTGAAAAATAGAAAAGTTTAAAGATTAAGGTGAGAAATGCCTTTGTTCAAAATTGTGTGTTTTGTCCCAGACAGAATATTGAATGTTACTGGAGCATAAGAATTCAAAGTACTGGGGCGCCTGGGTGGCTCAGTCGGTTAAGTGCCGACTTCAGCGCAAGTCATGATCCCGTAGCCCATGGGCTCAAGCCCAGCATCAGGCTCTGTGCTGACAGCTCAGAGCATGGAGCCTGTTTCAGATTCTATGTCTCCCTCTCTCTCTTCCCCTCCCCAGCTTGTGCTCTGTTTCTTTCTGTCTCAAAAATAAAAAAATAAACATTAAAAACATTTTTTAAAGAATCCAAAGTACTCAGTATAAATATAAAATAAAAAGAGAAGAGAAAGAAAGAAACAAGGCATCAGAAACAAGAGTCCCTTTATCAAAATGTCTGGGGATTTACATTGCCTAAAATATTGAGGACAAAATATTTTCCAGTCTTCCTCAGACTCCTATCAAATTAAATCTGTTGCACATTTCACTTTTACATTCTAATCCAATTTTTAGGACAGCTTGTAGAAATGCAGAATAAGTATTTAACTTTGATACTGATCTAATTTCACTCTTGTTTGCTTTCCTTTCAAGAATGTGAAATTGATGCCAGTTCTTCCATGTGGGTTTATGTTTTCCTGGGGAACCTTCTTCGCGGAATTGGGGAAACTCCTATTCAGCCTCTAGGCATCGCCTACCTTGATGATTTTGCCAGTGAAGACAATTCTGCTTTCTATATTGGTAATGCTTACCCCATTCGTCTTCTTGGGAAACAGTGTATCTGGTTCCCTCAACTCCATTCCCAGATAAATATGGTGTGGAATAGGGTGTTATACTTCATATCCAGTTCCCATATTGAGGTTCACACATTTCTGATGTCCACACTGAGGATTTAGATGATGAAGAAAGTTGCGTTAGAAGGACCTGTCACATTAGAGAAAGAACATCAGAGTAAAAGAAAATAACTATAAGATCAATTGCAATCATGTACGACTTTGTACGATTATCTTTATGGACTTCAGATTTCATAGGTCCTTTTTATTGGGTTAACTGTGCTACTCAAGCATTTAGGTGTCATTTTTATATATATATATATATATATATTTGTCTCCAGAGCCCTAAAAATTGCTTTCTTAGATATAATCCCTGATTATTTAAAACATCTTTTTTCCTATGATGGATAGGCAGCAAGGAATTTTGAGTTATCAGTAGCAGGTATGAATGAATAAAGGAAAACACAGAAAGGATGAGAGCATGGTCTAAGATGAACACATGTCTGGATGGTCCCAGTGGATAGAACAGCAGCTAAAATCACACACAAAAAACAAAGTATAGCAAAAGCAAACTCCAAGTCCAGATGCACCTAAGTAGTATTTACTGAGTGCCTCTTATGTCTTGGAAACTAAATTTTTCTCTATTTCACACATCAATCTTGATTTCTTGGGGTTCTGATCTTTGAGGGCCTGGCCTTCAAGGGACAGAAGGACAAGATTGAAATTCATTGAGAATGAGTGTGGCTAGCTCCACAGTATAGTGCTTTCCTGGCTATGCACACGGAACTCCAGAGGGCTCTGATTACAGTCAGGCAGGCTATAATTAAAAACAGGTTACCTGCTCTAATGGAAAACTGCAGCATAAATCAGGAATTGGAATAGAAGTTGCTAGGCAATGGCTCTGGAGACTAGAGGAAAGATTGCAAGCCAAGAGTTGCAGGCATATATCAAGGAGTCCCCTTCCTCCTCACTCTCTTCACCCTTTCTTCTCTTCTGAAAAGGTTTTGGTAACTGTCATTTACTCCTCTTATTAATTTAAATTAATCTGCCAGAGAATATGTGTATCAAGCTCTATGGTGAAATGAAAGACGTATTGTAGATACTTTGCAAGGAAGAGTTACGTTTCTGGTAACCAGAAATTATGTCATGTAGACAATCTGCTCCACTTTCCTGCTATAGCTGCCGAGGCTGGTCATGATTGTTCCAAAGAGCACCTCCCTGCACTCCGAGGTCTGCCTCCTTTTGCTGGCTGCATCCAGGCATCTGCCTAGTTACCACCCTCGCACAGACTCTGAACGTATGCACTTTTTCACTAAGGTGGAAGAAATTGATTTTAATGTCAAAATAACTCTTAATGCTTAACCAGCCACAAAAAGGTTTTGAAAGACCGTCAAAATAGTATATTTCCGATTTTTTTTTTTATCATTGGGGGAAATCTAATCCTAATGAGTAAAGTTGGCTTCATTTGGGGGAAATTAGCTTCTTCAGAGTCTTGGTGTTACTTCCTTACTAAGAGTTAATTAATGCTTTCCAAGTGTTCATTCTTCTTCCAAAGCTGAGAAGGACTTATTTCCTGATTCAATAAGGTTGAAAAAAATGGACAAATTAATCACATTTAAGTGAAAAGTTGATGAAATATTTTCAGCTACTAACTGGATTTCACTCATATTTCTTGTTTAAAAATGTATTAATTTACAAAAGCAGAGAAATGCTCCACCCACCCCCTCTTTTTTTGGTGCAGGGTGTGTGCAGACGGTTGCAATTATAGGACCAATCTTTGGCTTCCTGCTAGGCTCATTATGTGCCAAACTGTATGTTGACATTGGCTTTGTAAACCTGGGTAAGGAAGTTTATTTTTGTTTATTTATTTATCTCCTTCACTGCAATTTTTTAAATGGGGACGATGTAAAAAATATCAGATTCCCTTTTTATAAAATGACAGGATGGTAATCTTTCCTAGAATGAAAATAATCCACTGAAAATTTGTTGTTGATATAATCACCACATACATTAATAAATGAAATATGAAAAATGGGCAGTAATTGAACTGGACGACCCGTGGTTTGTTATTCAGATGTATCCTTTTTCACCTCTGGTTTGCCAGTTCAAACACATTCCAGCATAGTTAGGACTTAAAACTGTGGCTTCTTGTTGGCTCTTGTAGGTTCAGGTGTATCAACATGACAGTCACATCAATTGATCATGTATTTTGTAGATTTGCCAGGAAGACCAAGAATTGAAACTCTTTTGGCAACCGAAATTCATTCTTTACAAATCATTTTCAGGTGGAAGCATATTACAGTGAGACTACCTTACCCCCTGAGAAAGTGTTTATGGAGGAAATAAATGGCAGACCTCCTCTTTCCATAGCTATTAACTTGTTTCTTTCCTTGTGAGATGTACCTCCTAGAAATGAGCATTAATTTTCTTTCTTTATAAATAACGTCAAAAAGCAGTTAAAAACAAGAAAACAAGTTTCCTTTTTTAAAAATTTTTTTAATAGTTTTTATTTATTTTTTGAAACAGAGACAGAGCATGAGTGGGGGAAGGACATAGACTGAGGGAGACACAGCATCTGAAACAGGCTCCAGGCTCTGAGCTACCTGCACAGAAACCGATGCGGGGCTCAAACCCAGGAACCGTGAGATCATGACCTGAGCCAAAGTCAGACATTTAACACACTGAGCCACCCAGGCGCCCCCAAGTTTCCCTTATAAAAATTCTGAAATTGCATTTTGAAATCCTTTTGTGTTAAAATTAAGTGCAAAACTCTTGCACTAATTTTCCTTTTTTATCAGATAAACGAAGATACATTCCAAAAATTTTACTTATTCATTCATTCATTTATTAATTTCATTAATTTTACATCTATCCCAGGTGCTGTTCTACCCCCAGATAGTGAACAAGATAGTAGTTGAATTCCTTGAGTTTCTTAAAATCTTGTCATGGAGATTGGTACAGATAAGAAAGCATAGGTGTGATGAGTGGTACAGAGGGAAATTGTTAACAGGAAGCAATGAAGATGCAGTGAAGAACTAGTATGAACATTTTATCATATATAATGTAATGGTAATTGAGCCTAGTTGTCAAAGGATGTGCATTTATTTTGTTCTCATAGAATGTGGTGGAGTTAAACCTGTTACTTGCTTTATGGGTTATTTAAATAGAAAAGAAAAAACACTTGATTTTATTCATCAGTACTTACCTTGTAGTTAAAAAATGGTGTCAAAAATAAAGTTTTTATGATGAATAAGATATTGACATTTTATTTATATATACAAATCTTGCCTCAGACCTCAAATATCTCTGAGGTATTATTAAGCGTCATTTATTAAATAACATTCTGAATGGGTTAGACCGGATTTGGACCAGAAGTTGTAGCATTTAGCTCTTTCTTTGAGTGAGATATTAGACGTTCTCTTGGTGAACCAGATGAAAGTGGTGCTGATATGGGGTAGCTGGTAGAAGGTTTTGAGCCCTCATAATTCTCCCTTACATGTTTCTTTCCTCCTGCCGTGGACCCAGGTGTCCTTCTGCAGAACCCAAGGGCAGAGCAGAGAGCCACTCTTCCAGTATTTAGACTCTATATTTCAAATCTAAGGAACAAAAGAAGAACAGCATCATGTTCTAGAAACACCTTGTTCCCTTCAAAAAGCAAGATGATGATAATGTTCAGACTAGAAAGTTATCATGCATGAATTATTAGGTATTTTATGATATGATAGAGCTAATGCTAGGATTTTGTTTAGAATATAGGCTTATTTCAACACACCAGCTTTGCTGTGTATGCTATTTAGCCATCCCCTCTCTCTTTCAGATCATATAACCATTACTCCCAAGGATCCTCAGTGGGTAGGTGCTTGGTGGCTGGGTTATCTAATAGCAGGAATTGTAAGTCTTCTTGCAGCTGTGCCTTTCTGGTGTTTACCAAAGAGTCTACCTAGACCCCGAAGTAGAGAGGATTCCAATTCCTCCTCTGAGAAATCCAAGTTTATTATGGATGATCATCCAGACTACCAAACACCCCTTGGAGAAAAGTCAAAAATAATGGAAATGGCAAGAGGTGAGCCATATTCTCCTTGATTTTGAATCCCTTTCAGTTTTCCATTGAGACCCTATAGGAGATCTATAAATAATACCCCTCTCTCCCCATCATTTGTTCAGAAAAATTGAGAGATTGTACAGGAAGCAGAATTGAAGATTACAAAATCAGCTTTATTACTGGAGAGTGGATTAGGGAACATAACCCAAAGTATTGGTAATCTTCTTGATGACATTCCCACCCTTACACTGCTTCAAGTTCAACCTTGCAGTCGCCCCATATGGGATTGCTACTTCACATCAGTATGGAGGACAGAAGATAGTGAGTCTTCAGAGCTTGTGGCCTTTTTAACAGATGAGGTTCAGCCATTTGACAAACGTGTGTCAGTGCATGTTTCCCACCAGTGACCAAGGGAATGAGTGTGTTGTAGGGCAAAAAGCTAGACGTGGTAGAATGAATTCCTTCCACATAGAAAAGGGTGGCTGGCTACGAGGAGGATTGGTCCTTCACAATTGGGCCCAGCAAGCAATATTTACATTTATAGAAAATCTTCACATTTCAAACTCTTTAGCTACATAATAAGAAGAAGGGAGAATGCCAAAGCTCATTTCTTACACTAAAGTTCATTAAATTAAATGGAGGTAATTTGCATATTTCTTTCTCCATGACCATTACCCAAGTTTGAAGAATAGGGACCAGAAAACTGAAGTTCTTGATACCCTGCCAATGACTTTCAGCTCTGGAGTGAGGGAATATTCTCGTCCCTTTTTCCTTTTTCCCATATCATTTAGAGGAATCTATCCCTGTCTGTCTTACACCTCTAACTGTAATCTAAACTATATGCTTCATGCAAGTGCTTATGTCTCTATGTAAACCTGACAGATCTCAGTCTTGACTGGGGGCAGTGTTTAATATCCATAGTGTGTGTGTGTGTGTGTGTGTGCGCACGCGCGACACATTGTAAATACTCCTGATAACTGTGACAGTGGGACTTAGGCATCTGTGCCCTGCTGCCAAGGCTGTATCTTCCGCCAAGTGTAACACTGACTCTAATTTATCCGTGTTATTTTTGTCTTACAGATTTTCTTCCATCACTAAAGAATCTTTTTGGAAATCCACTGTACCTGTTGTATTTGTGTGCAAGCACTGTTCAGTTCAACTCTTTATTTGGAATGGTGACCTATAAACCCAAATACATTGAGCAACAGTATGGGCAGTCAGCCTCCAAGGCCAACTTCGTTATTGGTATGCTCACTTGTCCTTCACGCTTGCCAGTCGGCACTGTCAGCTGCATCTCTCTTAACCCTTAGTAATTATAGAGAACACAGTTCTTATAGGTAGACTGAACATGATTTATGGCATTTTACATACAAAGTCAAAAAGTGAGTGAATAAAAATTTAGCAGAATGGAAAAAAATTCAGTGCAAAAAAATATTTAGATAGTCTGTGGTATAACCTTTTAGCAAGAATTATTCACACTGTAGATGAGTGACCTTGAGAATATTACATAAACCAAACATGCATTTTATTAGGAGGCTGTGATACTGGATATATGTCTTTCAGGTATAGCCAAAACTTTGTAACAGTGGCCATTTTACCTGAATAGTTTCTAGGACTTTAAAAAGTGAATATTCAGACAGGTTAAAAGGTATTCATTGCAAAACAAAGTTTGCATTTGCTCAGAGTTAAAGGACTTTTCTGAGTCCTGGCATTCAGGTCATTTAAAAGGGCTGTGTTTCTAGTATAGCAGATCAGTCAAGATTAAGAAAGCTATTCAGGGGCAAAGAAACACATGAAGAAACGAACAGAGAAGAAACAGAATCTACAGATACGAGAAGGTCATGCTCCAAGTAATTGTGGATACTTTTAAAACCTGGATTAACTCCTTTAGCTCATGAAGATGTCATTTAATGCTACTGGTTCAAGGCATAAATATATTTTATTCCTTTGGGTATATTCCTTTATGGTAGGAGACTTCTAAAGATTTAAAGACATTTCTTCTTCATAAATATTTCAAGAATTGTTCTGCATATCTATCTCTGAAAGAGATCTCTGAGTTTATTTTAGAATATGTCATTGTCCTGTAACAATCCTGTATAATTTAACTCAGATGCTAATTTAATTGACTCTGTTTAGATTGTGCTAAATTATAAATATCAAAGCTATGCCACTGAACTTATATTTTCAACATTAATTGGTTCAAATTAAGTTAATCACATTATTTAGTGGTTGACCTGAGGAAACATTTTAGGATTTTTGCCACCCCCCCCCCACCCCCGATGTCAATCAGTGCTTTATACTGATTTTAAAAAGAAGAGAAATGAAAGTTTAAAAGACATTCTTTTTATTTGATTTTTAAATCTCCTTTGTGTTTATTGAGGTATAGGCAACAGTTAACACTACACCCCCTAAATGGGCAGTGTAGCTGGATAAAAGTTTGCACAAAAATCTATATAGTAACCATAAGCTAGAACATGTAGCCCATTTCAGAACCCCAGGGGCTCCCTCAAACCTCCTTTTACTCAGTACTCCTTCCTAAAGCTAATAAGTATTCTGAACTCTGCCATCATAGATCAGTCTTACCTGTTTTTGAACTTTATTTAAATGTAACAATACGTTATGTACTCTTTTGTATCTAGCTTATTTCAACTGAAGTGAAATCTGTGGGATCATTCATGTTGTGTATAGCAGTTTGATCTTTTTCATTCCTGTGTCGTATCCTATCACATGAATATACCACAGTTGATTCATTTTATGGTTGGTGGGCATTTGGATCTTTTTATTTATTTTTTGCTTTTGACAGTTATAAATAACACTGCATGACTATCCTATATATATTTTGGTGGTGTATACATACATTTTTCTTGGCTGTCTCTTGGAGTAGAATTGCTGGGTCATAGAAAGTATGCATGCTTAGATCCAGTAAAACATTTACAGTAGGGTTGTGCAGATTTATAGTCATGCTAGACATGTAAGAGCATTCCAGTTGTTCCACCACCCTGTCACACTTAGTATTGTCAGTCTTTTTCATTATAATCATTCTTATGGGGTGTGGTGATATCTTATTGTAGTTTATTTGCATTTCACTGATAACTAATGACGTTGAGCACTTTTTTTGCAGGCTTGTTGGTTATTTCAACATTCTGTTTTGTTAATTATGTTCAAATTGTCTATTTTTCTTGAGTTGTCAGTCTTTTCTTACCGACTTGTAAGGGTAGGTACTTTTTTTGATACAAGCTCACGAATTGTGATACAAGTTATTGAATATATGTATTATAAATATTTTCTCACAGGCTTCACTTCTTTTCACTCTCCTAATGGTGAGCTTCTTAATTTTAATTAAGTCTTCTTTCCAGTCTTTTTCTTTCTCATTAGTGCTATTTTAAGCCTCTTTTAAGAGATTTTTGTCAAACCCCAAGTCCATGAAAATGTCTAGCTTAAGTGTTTTAACTTTCACATTTAGGTTATAATCCTTTTTTCTTTCTTTCTTTCTTTTTTTTTTTTCTGTATGATGTGAAGAAGAAGGTCATGGTTGATATATCAAATGGAAAAGCTGTCTTTCCCCCATGGGTTGCAATGAAATGATACATCTTTAAGTGTATGTTAGCTTATTATTATTCAATTTGTGCAGAGCACAAAATCAAAAGCAGGTCATTTGGTTTTGCTGTCACTAGAATAATAAATACATTTTTATTTCAAATTAAAAACATTTCATAAGGGAAAATTAAGAGCATTGTTTGGGGAAAGGTATTTATAATAGAAAACAAAATTAGATGTAATCTACTAAGTAGATAATAAATGAAATACATTTTGCCTATAAAATTATTTTTATGAAAAATTAGCACAGATGAAAGAACTTGTAATTCTGAGAGATTCAATGTCCTGCCTAATTGCATATATACATTATGATGTAGCCAAGAATAGAATTATTCCCCCTGAGTTTCTGTGTTACATTTCTCCTCTGGACATAATTATTTTTGGAAAACTGACAAAAAGAATCTAATAATTCTTTTTTAAATTGTGAGTGATATCATTTAACCATAACCCTTCTCTGTACACTCTGATGGTCTCTGAGATCCAAACTTATCATCAGTATTTTTTGATTCATCTATCAAAGTTTGCCTAAAATTCTGATTTTTCATAGTTTCTAGCACATCATATCTTTAGCTAATTCAAGTACTTTTGTGAGAGATAAGTAATAGTGTCTAATGATTTCAATCATTGTAGCTAGGATTCTTTCCTGAGTGCATCTTGGTTTCACATTAGTTAAGTAAGGAAAAGAGCAGAGTAAGAATCAGTGGGTAAATTAGCCAACCACACTTACTTTCATTATCCTTAGAATGGCGAAAATAAAGGCATCATTAGTTTAAAATAGAAATTAAATAAGACATATAGAAGGCAATATATATGTCCATAGCTGTCATTCACTAAATAATGTTTTCTCACTTCTTTCTTTTCTATCCTATTTCTCTCCTTAATTTTTCAGGGTTAGGGGAGGCTTCTGTGATTAAGTAGGGGAGAAGCACAAAGAAAGCACATTTACCCTCTCTCAGAGAAGACATTTGACATGGCATGGATGAAATAATAAACAGAAATTTTCCTATGTGTTCAAAGGCCAATTGTTACAATGAGGATTTATTTTTGCTATACGTGTTTTTATATGTTGGTCATATTTCTAAAATTTAGAAATAATATTTTCTCAAGTTAACTACTTTAATTTTGCAAATAAAATTAAAAATAAGCAACAAAAATGTTTCACATTCAGGGACTAGGAAGTATATGACAGAATGATACTACTTTTTCAAGCATATAACTTTTTTCCCCATTGCTGTCTCAATTGGAAAAAGTTTAGACAGACAGTTTTAATTTTTCTCTTTTTACGTATTTAAGCTTCTCTCATCACTGTTGAGTTACATGAAAATGATCTTATGTTTTGTTTTCCTTCTTACTACAGAGTGTAATTACTTAATCGTTTTTCTTAATTTCTTAGAGTTTTTAATTAAATCAGTTTCTAGTGGACATGATGCATTGCATTGACGATCATTCATAACAATGATTAGCATTCTCAATTCTTGGAGATGTTACACAGACAAATGAGGAAAAATTATCATTATTTGGGAAAAGTTGCTTATAATAGAAAACATTAATTTTTGTGGCTAAGCTAGCATAACAAATTAAATATGTGTTAAGCTGTGTTCTATATCTAGGTCAAGTTATATTAAAAATCTGCGAGATTAGGGAAATAATCTTAGTTTATAAGGAAAAAATACTTGAATTATATCCAATTGGCTAATTTTACTTCATTGTCTCTACCCAATTGGCTATATGTATGTGAAAAGTCCCATAAATTTTTACATGTATTTCCCCCTATAAAATTGAAATCTTAATATTTATATAATGAAGGTCCATTATACATTACAGAATTTTACTTCACCAGAAGAGAAGCTCCAAAACATCCCAACGTACTATTATTATTATAGCCTATTTTTATTCATCTTAGTGGCTAAGGCTACCACATATTTGTATGGAAATCAGAGTTTCCAGTTTATATTGTTAACTGTAGTTGACCATCTTAAAATATTTTCTACAAGTCTCATAACTCTTATTTGGGACAGTAACAAAGAATAAAGTCTTCAACATGAGTAAGTATACTGATATAGCAATAACAAATTTGCTCTTAAGTTTCTCCTAGCTTCCCAGTTATTTGAGTAAATATATGAAATTCAAAAGAAATTTATAAAATAAATTGAAACAAATTGTGGACGCTAGTGTAAATTACAATTAGTATTTCCACTTGGAATATTTAGATGGTAAAGATTTTAAGATCAACACATTTTATGCTGTAAGTAGAGAAAAAGTGTGTAATAAAGAAATCAGAGTGAAATTTCTACCTCATTAAATGATTTTAAGATGCTTCAGATCAAAATAAAGAAACTGAGAGGCAAGCATCATATCTCACTTGATATTCAGGAAATTTGGTATAAACTCAACTTGACCCAGCATAGATTGCTTGCAGATCCTACAGAGTTTGAAAGGGAGAGCCAAGCTGACAGTATATTTGAAATATACTGCTACTGTTTAACAGACTGTTATAATTCCATTATCTTGAAATACGAGAGTAGATATGCAGGAGAAATGTTATATCTGAATAAACTTAACTAAAGTTTCGTCATTTAGTACATTTTTTTTAAATTTTTTATTTATTTCTGAGAGAGAGAGAGAGACAGCATGAGCAGGGGAGGGTCAGAGAGAGGGAGACACAGAATCCGAAACAGCCTCCAGGCTCCGAGCTGGCTGTCAGTAGAGAGCCCGATGTGGGGCTCGAACCCATGAACCGCGAGATCATGACCTGAGCCGAAGTCGGACGTTTAACCGACTGAGCCACCCAGGCGCCCCGTCATTTAGTACATTTTTAAGGAAAATTGCAAGGTGCACAGTATATGATGGTGAGCACAGTTCTTACCTTGAAGGGGAGTTTGGAGGGTAAGGGGTACAAGCCAGGCAAGCTAACAGGTCATTGTGATAAGGACCAAGACTGCTGTTTATGGGACAAGGGCCACAGGCAGAGGGAGGAAAGGAGGTTCTGATGATCAACGTGTGCACCCTGACGCTAGGTATGTCCCTGAAGGCACCATCTGGCTGGTGGAGGCTGTGATAAGTCTCTATGAGGAGAAGCCCAGAGGACTCTAGGAAAACAAACCAAATCTTGGAGTTAGAAAAAGTTCTCTAGCACAAGGTGTTGATGCCTAAATCAAGAGCAAAAGAATAAGGAGGTGTTAAAAGATGAAAATATGGGAAGTGGGGCGGTGTTTTGAAAGAACGTTGTATCAGATGAAGCAAACAGATATCTTGTAAAGAAAGGCCTGGAGACAGTAGAACACATGAACCTTTCTGGAAGTTTTAAGAGAACACAGGCCTCTAAAAGGAGGTCAGTCAAGAGAGGATATCCCTGATTTTTAACATTCTGTACTGTGGGGACAATGCAATTAGAATAATTCCATTTTGATTCTCAGGCTCTTCTAGGCCAGATCAGGGTTGGGAAAGGCCAGTGGAAACCATCAGAGCATGAAGCTTCAAAACAAAGGGTGTCCTTTGTGCTCTGACACCTTATGTCCCAGGTTTGATTGGTACCTTACAAAACAAATGAAATTCTAAGCACATTCTCTGAAGGTTTCAGTTTAGAGTCTGTTTTTCAAAAGATATGTTTTGTTTTTTTTTTAATGTCTGTTTATTTACTTTGAGAGAGACAGAGAGAGCACATGCAAGTGCGGGGGAAGAGGCAGAGAGAAGAGAGAGAGAATCCCAAGCAGGCTCTGCACTAGCAGGGGGTGCCTGACACGGGGCTCAATCTCACCGTGGGATCATGACTTGAGCCAAAATTAAGAGTTGGATGCTTAAGCTACTGAGCTACCCAGGCGTCTCCCCAGAAAATATACTTGTTATAAACTACTTTTGGGGGCATATTGAAAGAGAGAATGGACTCTGCCCTTTTGTGTAAGTCTTGGGTCTATGAGAGGGGGATTCAAAGTCAAGTACTATGAATATGTGTGTGTAAAAATAGTGACTCAAATGATACACATCAAATCCGTGGCAATGCTTAGTTCTTGAGAAGGAAGATGGGATCTGGAACAGAAAAAATGTGTTTTATGTATCTCCATATTTAAAAATCAGAAAAATTGGGAGAAAATATTAGCATTTAATTTGAGTCATGAGAACCCAAGTTTGTTATATTATTTCCTTCTCTCTTTTTTCAAATAAATAATAATCAGGTTCCTCTTAGTTGACGTTTGACTCTTTAGGGGCCTCATATACATTCATCTCTGCCACTTTTCATAGCCACAAACCTCAGTTTAGCTGAGAAAACAAAAACCAGCACCTCCTCTTTTTTTGATTTCACTAATTTTGTGATTATGCCCCCTTCAAGGTGAGTTGATATCTAATGTGACCATATTAACATTACCATTTACTAATTTAAAACCCAGCCAACAAGTCATCAAAGAGCCTCTTTCCCCACCTTTTCTAATACAGACATGTTCTACTCTACCCACCTATCCCAATATTTCCATCTTTGTGAATCTTATAGATTGAAATGCTGATAATAACTTAATTGAATGATATTTTTGTGCCATATATTGTGCGAGGAACTTGCCATGTTATTCAGCCACCTCAGCACTATTATTTGCTCCATATTATACGTAAGGAGACAGATTTATTGAAGTTCAGAGTATCACCTGCAGTTGCACAGCTATTAACATATGTGACGGAGATCGAAATCCAGGCAGTTAGGTCTCCAGAGTCCAAGTATTGTTTTAAAATCATATTTGATTACTAGTGAGGCTGCATATCTATAAAGAATCCTGTCTCCCAAACACTTAGAAGGAAAGACAGTATAACATAGTGATTGAAAGCATGGGATTTGATATTAGACTCTGTATTGTCAAATCTGGTTTTAACACATACTAACCATGACCATGAATAAGTTTCTGTCTGAAGTGAAATTAACAATATAGCTACCTACTAGGGTTGTGGTAAAGAGTAAATGGAAGAGATATATCAAATGCTTACCTGAGTGGCTGGTACGTTATAAGCAAATAATAAATATAAAAGTAATCTATTAATACATTGTTTGGCTACTGTTGTTTTGTTGTGGTTGTTAAGGACACCAAACTCAGCAGATAAGAGTGTAAATACAAAAAATTTTGTTTGGGCCAGAAAAAAGAACCAACGGTTTTTTTGCTCCCTAAATTCCATGTGCCTATTAATCTTTTATGCATAACCTTAAGAACCATAACTTCACCCAGATGCCCCTTGATTGTACCTGTCAATCCTGGGATTAGACCAGAAAGACATTGAATCATTGATTACCTCAGTGTTTATTGATTTCAGACTCTGTGCTAGACACTGTATTAGGCAGACTGCTGAGACTCTGTTGTGCTGTCCTTAATCTATAATCTAGACATTCATCAAAATCTCTTGACATGTCAATAGACAATAGTGAATGAATATTTCTATCACTTAAAATGAGCAACGAGTCTAATAATTTTTCAGGAACTATTATAATTTTGTATAATCCCTTAGAAAGTTTATGTCAGTATACTCAGATTTCTTTTAGAGATCCACCAAATGACATATATATCTTTTATTCCTCAGGGCTCATCAACATACCTGCAGTGGCCTTTGGAATATTCTCTGGGGGAATAGTTATGAAAAAGTTCAGAATCAGTTTGTATGGAGCTGCAAAACTCTACTTGGGATCATCTGTTCTTGGGTACCTCCTATTCCTTTCCCTGTTTGCACTGGGCTGTGAAAATTCTGATGTGGCAGGACTAACTATTTCCTACCAAGGGTATGTTCACTCACTCATTAAGTAATCTGAGGACATTGGCTTGTTTAATCAAATTATTGATAGAATTTCAAATTATTGATATAATTTCAAAATTTTTAAAAATTTGATTTTAAGCATCATAACTATGAGAACAGATTTACTGTTTAATTGTGAAATAACTGCCTGTACTTTGACATGGAAACTGTTATTGTCACCAAAATCTGTCATCTCCTTTGAATTTGGTTGTCTAAGAGAAATTATCAAAAATACTAAGTCTACATCTTACTCTAGAGAAGCAACCTGATAGTGGAAAATACAGACCTTGAATTTTGCCTCTACCCATTATTGGTGAAGTGACATTGTACAGATCATCTAATCTAATCAAGCCTCAAATTTTTAAATAAGAATAATAGCTACCTTATAAAATTTTGTAAGACTTAAGCAAGATAATATACATGGAAGTGATTAGTACTTGCCTGGCACAAAGTAGATGTGCCATTTATAAACAATTATGTATTTTTTTCTTTAAATACTTGGATAACTGGAAGAGTCTCTGTGCTGCTTTTTGTACTCTCTGTTATACTCAAATCATGTGAAGTTTCAGGAGAGAATGCTATTCCTAAGCCCAGTAATCCACATGACAGCTCTCTTTAACTCTTTGCAGGTGGTCAAGAGAATATTTATCGAAGCTCTCAAATCTATGTATATAGAGTAGGTGATTAACTTTCTTAGTTTCCAGGGTTTGTCACTCTTAATACAAAGCTGGAATCTTGAAGAAACCACTCTGTCTTTTCATGAGTCCTTAATATCATTCTACCTCTTAACAAGAGTTCCCAGAGGTAGCTCTTTTCATTCTTCCACCTAACTATGCATTATCTATTTTAAAAAAATTATTAAGCCACTACTGTGTGCCAAGCCTATCACTCTCACTGCACTGCCTGACTGCCCAAAACTCTACTGATATAATGTTCTGTCTTCTGCTAGTTCAGGTGCCTCTTATTTACCGCTTGTTCTCCAGCTTTCTTCCTGTACTTCCCTCCAAGCTCACCTATCTGTCTTGTTTCCATATTCCGATCTCCAGCACCTTCATTAACCTGGTTTCTCCTGCTGTTAAGTGAACGTCAGTTACACTTTTCACTGCCTAAAATGTCCAAAAAATTAGTGACTGCAAAGTTTATGTACCATTGCTTCTGGGAGTTAACACAGCAATGTTAGACTTAACTGAGTGTAGCATTGGCTTGGTAATAGTCAGCAATGTAGACTAAGGACATTAATTGTCAGCAGGAATTACAAGAAGATTCTGGAGAGAGTAGAGGCCCTGTGCTATCTTTAATTGTCCCTATGATCCTAATGGTAGATAGACAGTGGTAAAGTACTTTGTATTTTTGCAATTTACAAAACACCATATCTTTCATTATATCATTTGTACTCTCAGAGCAACTTTATGAGATAAGTCTGTTATCCTTGTTTAAAGGAAAATGCATTTAGAAAGGTCAATTATCTCTTCAAAGTATAATATTCTCCCTACCTCATCATGCTGTCTAGAATCCAAAAGCAAACACATAAACAGACAATACTTAACTTTTGAAGTTCACATTAAAAGTATACCCACAAAATAAATGATTAAATATTTTTAAACAAAGAAAAAATAATATATCCATTGCATGAGTACTAGCCCTTGAAAGCAGACACCTTGAAAGACAACAACTGCATTGCAATGATGGTATCATTGTTAAAACATTCTAAAACTCCTCTTTTGCAATTGCTTTCCATGTTTTTCAGAATATTCTCAGCAATGGCAAAGATTTAACCTTTACAAGTAGCTTTGCTATTGGAAGCAGCCAAAAGAAATGGCAACACCCTGTGAAAAAGCTCTCCCATCCAACTTGACTATTTTGAAAGAAAAATCTCATTTCAAGTATAAACATTCTGACTTATTTGTTTACACCTATCTCAAAATTTTATTTCAAAAAATTTTTTTAACATTTCTTCATCTTTGTGAGAGAAATAGAATGCAAATGTGGGAGGGGCAGAGAGAGAGGGAGACACAGAATCCAAAGCAGGCTCCAGGCTCTGAGTGGTCAGCACAGCTTGACACAGGGCTCGAACCCATGAGTGGTGAGATCATGACCTGAGCCAAAGTTGATGCTTTACCAACTGAGCCACCCAGGTGCCCCTTATCTTAAAATTTTAAATAACAACACTGTAAGCACATCCTTTGTAAAATATGTATGTAACTAATTTCTGCTTCAAGATTGTCCTAGATGATAAATGTAACTTACATCTAGTAAAATAACATAATTAGCCTTATAAGATACAACATGCTCCACAGGGATTATCCTCAGTTGCTTTCTTCCACAAGGCTCTTTTGATTCTGGACACTCAACAGGGACATTGTAGACAGCTTTAGATGTGGTCATGGAAGTAGCTTTTCTTCTGTAATATTGAGAGTAAGTCTGATTTTATACCAGAATTTGAAATCCGGAAGCCTGGAAGAGTTCTCATTTTGAAGTTTGTCACTAATAAACATTGTGAAATTGAGCCAATAATTTGCCCACTTTGGTCCTGACTTTCCTGATTTGCCAAATGAGAAGTTGACCTAGATCTCCCCCAAAACTCTTTCAGCACCAAATGTCTGAGATCTTAATCCTGCTATATCCATAGTGGCCTGATTCTAGGCCTTCAAGGCATTTATTTATACTTTCAGATACTACCAACAGTCTCAATTCATTTAACGATTAGTTGAAATGTTCCTACATAACTTCTCAGGAAGCCTCTACCTCTACCCTTCTATTTTGTCGGGAGACATCTCAGAGGCTTTTGTTGTTATGTTTGAGGTAATCAAGTGCATAGGAATTCTACTGGATGAAATATTCCATCAGTTAAGAAATTATAATTGCAATCATATGAAAAACCTCTTAAAAGAAGGGGCCAAAATGACTAATTTTTCCCCTCCAAAATAGAATAGCATTTTGCTTTGACTTACCAGAAATCTTGTTTCTTAACGGACTATATCCCATATTATTCTTAGTGTTGGAAATACAGGAGTGAATAAAACAAATAGTTCCTGCCCCCATTCAGTGTACATGATAGTGTATGTGGGATGGTTTTGTTGTTATTGTTTTGGTTTTAAGTTTCTCAAATAGTTCTGGGAAAAAATTGAAAGGAAAATAAGCAAATAAATAAATTCAAAATAAGAGAAAAAACAGAAAGAATGATGTAGTGCCAAGGGATGAAAAATAAGGTGCTGGTGGAAGAGAAATACCATTGCATAAGTACCCCCTCGAAGAATAAAGGAATATAAAAAAAAAGCAAGGAGAATAAGGGTGGAAGGGTTAGGTAATTCAGGTAAGAGGAAGAAATAGATGTGAAAGAGAAGGAATACAGACAGAGATAAAAGGGGAAGGTTAGACAGAATGAAAGAGAGGGAGAGAAAAGAGAGAAAATCAAAATTATGTAAAGGTAATGATTAAAACAAAAAGCCAGCTCCCTAAGGGCAAATATTGTCTCACTCATATTTGTAACTCTCTTCTCTCTTCCCAAAGCTAACACTTAGAAGGCTTCCACAAAATTTTTGAAACATGAACAAATGAATGGGTAAGTCATTGAAAAAGCATGTGCAAGAGAGTCAGAAAGAATGCCTTAAGGTATGGATGAGCTACATAGTTTGGGAGATTATGAGAGAGAGAGAGAGAAGAGTTAGATGAACTGGTGACACATTTATTAGTAAGATACATAAATAGGATATGTTCCTCTTCCAAACCAAGGTCTGTTAAAATAATGTTGACTGCTTGATTTTTTTTTCTTTCACCACATCATCAGCAATGCCCATTCTACTGATGCTTAGAAAACAGTTCTGAAGGAAATTTACACACATGCATGCACATGCATACACTACTTGCAATGCATTTAAGTAATGTCATAAATTACTATAAAGTTTACTTTACTTTTCTGCCTTGTTAGCTATCTTCCTACATCTTTGCATAGAAATATATTAGAAGGTCCTGGACTCTGTTGACTTTAGTGAAAACCATAAACCAAGAACTGGATATTATGTGAAGTTGTAAACTTCTAAAGATAACTTTCAAGAGAAAGCTGCTTAAAAAGTAGACTCACATTTAATCATCAGAAGCTGGCATTTCTGATGACACTTGTTTTCCCAAAAGGCATACTCGCTTGGCAGTGCCATTTATATGTCAAGAACATTGATATTTGAAAATATTAGGGTGCTGCCTGCTGAGAGGTAATATTTTATACTATTACATTTCTTTTCAGAACCAAACCTGTCTCTTATCATGAACGAGCTCTCTTTTCAGATTGCAACTCAAAATGCAAATGTTCAGAGACAAAGTGGGAACCTGTGTGTGGTGACAATGGAATCACATATGCATCACCGTGTCTTGCTGGTTGTCAAGCCTCCACCAGGAGTGGAAAAACTATTGTAAGAAAGCCCTAATGTATGTACCTGTGATGCCTGCTACAGCACATAACCACACAGCTCTGCAGGGGCTCAAGGACCAACCCAGCAGCAGACCACACTGGTAGCAGACCTGGCTCTTATTCTACCCTTATTCTTTTCTGTGGAGACAGAAAACATAACCATTGCTAGTGGACTAGAGTTGTTGAAAGAATTAGGATAAGAATTTGAATCACAAACCATGCTGGAAAAGCCTTGCAATGATGTATGCTAGTTCTCTCATTTTGCTTATGAGGAATATTAGCCTCAGATGAGGAAGTCTCAGTCATAAGATCGTATGATAAGATCTGCATTGGGATCCATGTCTCCTAACCTCAAAGCCAATGATCCTTGGAGGTTTTAGAGACAGGACAAATAGGGGCCAGTGTTAGAAAGTCTAGTCCAAGAAGTCTAATCCCAGGGACCACAAATTGAGGAGATGGGTGGTTCCAAACACTCTGCCTGGAAATCAAGCTGATGTGTGTAATAATGAAAAGAGTATGGAGCTGGAATGAAGGGGTTCTATAGGGTGGATGAGGGAGAGGAGGTTGGTAATAAAAATAAGAAATCAGTTATGAAGGACATTAGGTACTTAAATCATTAAAAGGCTCATTTCTCCCATCACATCTTTACATTTCTGTCCCAAACATAGACTCTTTCTTGTACTCTCTGTATATATGGCTAGTGGTCACACTCCTGTCCGCTTGGGTCCTGGAGGTCTGAAAATTAACACACATGCCTATTTACATATGCTTAATCAACTAGATAAGAATGCTTAGGGAAAGACTTTTGTAGACACAGAGCAACATGTTGCTTTTCTCTGTTTATTGTAAGGTTAACATTTTATTCAGAGCATAAAGGATTGGCTTCTAGCAGCAGTGAATAAGACTACCTACCCCTCTAAAATCTGAGGGGTTTTTTTACTTTCTCTTCCTCTCCTCCTCTCCTGTCTCCCTTCCTTCCTGCCTCTCTCTCCCTCCCTTCCCCTTCTTTCCTCCCTTGCTCCTTCTTCTCTCTCTCTCTCCCCTTCTTCCCTTCTCCTCGTTCTTTCTTGTCTTTTAGCTTCTACTTGTTTGTTGTTCAAACTGCTTGGAAGTTTTCCTTAACTAGAATTTCCACTTACTGAATGCGTTCATGCCAGGAACTAAGAGAAGTGCTTTTTAAAAAAATTGAATTTAAATATCATGGCCTTCAGGTAATTGAGTATTACTTATTTTCCTCATGTGAGAACTGTGGCACTGAGATACCTAAATTCACATATCTAGTGTGAAGCAGAGTCAAGGTTCAAAAGCTTTTCACCTGGAATTAAAAAATAATAATAATAATTCAACATTGCTACTCTTCCTTTAAAAGGAAAAAGTGAGCCTTATTTTCATTGTTTATCTAAAAACTCACAAACTCATTTGTGATAAAAGTGACAACTCATTATACATACACATTTATACATGAAATTTACAAAAATTGTGCCTATTTATTTAACAAAGTTTTATTGAGTGCCCAAATGAGGACCCATTTTAGGTCCTACATGTACAATGATGAGGAAGCAGACAGTTTCTACCAGAGGTTTCATTCTGGCAGGGATATATAATTTAAAAATAAATAATTATATAATATTCTAATGGGTAGTGATAAGCACTGTAAGGAAAAGATAGGATAAAGATGGAGAGATGGGGATATTTATTTGAATGGGTGATTACGGAAGCCCTCTTTAATGAGCAGAGACCTGAGGTATGTGTGCTAGCCTTATAGCTGTCTGGCACAGCTGCCCAGCAGAGAAAACAGCAAGGCTATGATGCATGAGTTAACTTGCCATGTTTGAGGGTTTGCAGGGGCATAATGGAAACCCATGTGTGTGGCTGAAGCAGATGGAGAGGGGGAAGGATCATTGAAGAGTGAAATTAGAGCAGCATCAATCATAGTGTGTAAGCCACTATGAGGATTTGGGGTTTTAGACAAGTGTGATAAGAAGCTATTGGAAAGCTGAGAATAGTGACTGCCATTTTTAAAAGCTCACTTTGGTTACTGTGTGGGTAACAGATGATAGCTGGGTAAGGGTGGAAATAATTGAGTGTAAAGAGATCAATGCAATAACCAAGGCAAGAAATAATGGTGGTCTAGACTTGGAAGTGGCAGAGAAAGAGATAAGGTATGATTGGATTTACTAGGACTTACTGAGAGATTGTTCTCTAGGGTCACTAGTTTGAAGACCAACCACCTTCTGTTTAGATTTTTTTAAAAATGTTATCTATATAGGTTTCACTTTGCTTGATATATCCTAACACAGAGAAATAAAAGAATATTTACCTTATTGTTTATATAATGTGTGTCTGTTATACTGTGAAGTCTTTTTAAATAAATACTTATCTTTAACTTTATTCAAATGTTACCTCAATAATTGGGACTCTTTTCTGTTGTGTTACAGATGTTTTATAACTGCACCTGTGTGGGAATTGCAGCCTCAAAGTCAGGAAATTCCTCAGGCATGGTGGGCAGATGTCAAAAAGACAATGGATGTCCCAAAATGTTTCTCTATTTCCTTGTAATTTCAGTCATCACATCCTATACTTTATCCCTAGGTGCCATACCTGGATATATATTGCTTCTGAGGTGAACACTGATTCTCTCTGCCCCAATTTTAATATGATCATCTAGAGCATCTATAGTCATCTACAGCATTGATTTCAAATTCTGATCTATGGAATTATGATTCCTTATAGCTCTTTTAGGGAACTTGTCCTGCATCCTTGTTCTGGTTTTATCCTTTTCTCACTTTGTGTTTTTATGTAGACACATGGTTGAATAGATAATTTTTAGTTAAAAATTTTTCAGATCATTGGTGTATGGAGCCATGTCAGTGCCTACATCACTATAGCCACTTAAGAGATACAGTATGCTATTTCTAATGGTGGCAGTAATGTTAACCCGTATAGACTAAATGTGTGTATGTGTGTGTGTGTATTTTAAGATTTTATTTTTAAGTAATCTCTTCACCCAATTGAATTGTGGGCTTGAACTTACCACCCTGATATCAAGAATTGCGTGCTCTACCAACTAAGCCAACCAGGTGCCCCTAGACTAAATGTGTTTTACATTAAACGTGACTTCACTGAATTATGGGTGATAAAATTTTAAGATACTTTAAAGACTGATCTAATACCACAGTGTTTCAAATTTATTATTTTAATCTGTAAGGTTATTTTTATTCTGACTGGAATTATCTGTAAGTGTGTGGGGGGGAGGGTGTTCATGACTTTTGAATCCATTTTCTCTGATCCATGAATATATGTTAATGACTCCAAGGGTTTTTGCTTATAACCCTAAAAGAATTCTTAAAATTATGTACCCCTTTTGCACATTGTTAAGTAGACATCTAGAAATTTATCATAAGTTTATTAGTAATTAAGCATTGATTTCTAGCATATTATAAATATTTACATTTACAAATATAATGATTTTATTTTATCTCAAAGTATATTTATTTTGAGAGCGAGAACTAGTGGGGGAGAGGCAGAGGGAGAGGGAGAGAATCCCAAGCAGGCTTCGTCCCGTCAGCAGAGCCCAATGCAGGTCTCCATCTCATGAACCATGAGATCATGACCTGAGCCAAAATCAAAAGTTGGACACTTAACCAACTGAGCCACCCAGGTGCCTCCCAAAATATAACGATTTCAGTGTAGATCAATCTTTTAAATGTAATCAGTAAAGATCTAGAAAACAAATTGGATAACTAATATTATCTAATTTAAAATTATACAAAAAATGTTTACAGTAAATATGTTACATATTTCTTCTTCTTGTGCTTATATCTTCATTCAACTTCCCTATAGGCTTCTCATCTGTTGTAATATAATTTTTGTTTGAACATTGTTTACTTTCTCTCCTATCATACAGTTCTATTTAAAAAGTATATAAATTCAAAGTTTAAAATATTAGTTTTATAACTAGTATTGTCAGTGATAAATTTTTCATTATGGAATTAGCCTTGCAAATATTACTATTTTACAGTTAATCAAAATAACCTTGGAGTGCCTGGGTGGCTCAGCCGGTTAAGCATCTGACTTCGGCTCAGGTCATGATCTCACAGTCCGTGGGTTCGTGCCCCACATCGGGCTCAGTGCTGACAGCTCATAGCCTGGAGCCTGCTTTGGATTCTGTGTCTCCCTCTCTCCCTGCCCTTCCCCCGCTCAAACTCTGTCTCTATCTCTCAAAAAATAAAGACATAAAATTTTTTTGAAAACCTAAAGTAACCTAAAATATTACAAATATTGATAAAACTATTAAACATAAAAAGTCAAATTTATTGGAAACCAATCTTATGAGATGGATTCAGGATTTTTTAATTAAGGCATATAATAAATGAGGAATATTATGTTACCTTAAAATGAAACTAATCAAAAGTATTGTATACAGCTTTAATTTCCTACATTATATTATGGAAATTGATTAGGAAAGATAAACAAAAAATAGAAACCAACATCCACAAATATGTTCTTCACAAAAGGACTTAAGAAGAACTTGGATAAATGTGTTTTCAAGTGGGAGCATGATGGAAATCATTGCCCCAGAGTTCTTGGACCAGGATTGTTCTTCACTATATTTTTTTATAGTACTTTTGTTGTTTTTAGGTGCATTAAGCCACAGCTTAAGTCTTTTGCCCTGGGAATCTATACCTTAGCAGTAAGAGTTCTTGGTAAGTATTATTTATGTTTTAATTATGATAGCCATGATAAATGTATTTTTCAATACCTTTCTAAGTATTTTTATAGAATTATTGTGCATAACTACAATAATATAGGTGGTTAGGTCCATATTTTTTTTTCTTCCTTTCTTTCTTCATTTCTTTATTCCCTCCCTCTCATCCTTGACTTCTTCCATCCTTTGTTCTGGAAATATTTCTTCAGAGCCAGTGCTCGATCCATGGTATAATAAAGGGATTTTGTAAGATTAGTGACATTTTTTGTTTTAACAATCTTGTCGCTTCCAGCATTGGTCTATTGTCAAAAAGTCTATTCTTATTATGAAAAAGTCCTCTGAGAGAAAAGGAAGATATGAATCAGTAAGAAAGGCTGAGACTTTAATATAATTTTTTTAGTTATTAAAATTGAAGTCATTCTTTTGAGCTACTCTCAATGTTAGGATGTATCATTTGGTAGGAAGATCAGTTCATTCATGCAATCAAAACAGTTTGGCTTTGAATTAACAATTTTCTAAATGTAATTGGAATGTTTTTCCTGACTTGAAGATTTTTCAATATGCATTTAAGTTAAAGTCCATAAAAAATAGAGTTAATGAGTCAGATAAGTTTTCTCTCTGTACAAAGTTTATATTCTAAAGAAGAAAGTGGAACAATCATAAATATTCCTCTGTAATTTAACAGAAAAGAAGTACTAGAGAGAAAAATAAACTGATAACTTTAAAAAAATCTGAAAATAAATAGATTTTGATAGGAAATAGGTATATAGAAGATGCAATATAATCCTGACGATATTGGGGAAGCAGCAAATATGGAAATGTATGTCATCACAGCCGTCTTTAATTCTATGACATAAAAACAAAGATTGTTTTGAAAAATGTCAGATTATCAAACCTGAAGTATGTCCCTGGCTGGAGTTGGTTTCTAGATCTACCTCGCTTTGGAAATATAATGTAACCTACATTGTGAAAAAGATTTCAAGTAATAAAAATGATTCATTGGAGTGTCTGGCTGGCTCAGTAGAGCATGTGGCTCTTGATCTCATGGTCATGACTTTAAGCCCCATGTTGGGCATGGAGCCTACTTAAAAATAAATAACTAAAAATAAAGCATTAAATATGATTCAAAAATTAATTTCATAAAAATATATACAGTAAAACCTTGGTTTGAGAACATAATTCGATCTAGAAATATGCTTGTAATCCAAAGCACTTGTATATCAAAGCAAATTTCAAGAACTGTTGACTCAGTTGTGATCACGTGATGCTTGGCATCACATACTAAGATTGTAAGACACTGCTCATTTATCAAGTTAAAATTTACTGCAAATGTTTGGTCATCTTACAGAACACTCGCAGAACAAGTTGCTCACAATCCAAGCTTTTACTATACTTGAAAATGGCAAAAATATAAACAAAGTCAAAAGGCAAATAGTAAACCTGGAACAATTTTTATTTTTGCAACTTATGTAACAGAAAATGTATAATATCCCTATGATAAAGAGAGCCCCTAAGTATTTAAAAAAAAAAAAAAACCACTCATGTTGAAAAATGAGTAAAATATATGAATAGCCATTTCATAGAAAAATAAATGTCTCAATATATAAAAAGATGATCAAACTCTCTCACGATAAGGAGAGCACAAATTGAAATTGCACTGATATGACATTTTTTGCTTATCAGATTTGCAAATTACCAAATGTTGTTTGCAATGTATGGGAAAACAGATATACTTAGACATTACTGTTGAGCAAATGGTACCATTTCTCAATGGTCCCACCACTCAGTGGAGGTCTCTGTAGCAATAACTAACAAAATTACATGCAGATTTATCTTTTGACTGAGCAATTCCACTTCTAGGCATTGATACCAAACACTTGCTAGCAAAACTACGAAATAAGTCAAAGTTTGTGAATGTCTCATTATTGTGTCATTATGTATAATAGGAAAACTGCAGTCTAGTTGTCCACCAAGATGAGATATTTGAATACAGTATAGTGAACCCATATAATGGAATCCTCTGGAGCTGTAAGGACAAATGGGGAAATCTTTCTCTAATGTTAACAAATATATTAGTTAGCTCTAACTGCCATAACATAATACCATAGACTGAAGGACTTAAGCAACAGAAATTTATTTTCCCACAGTTTGAAGCCTGGGAAGTAAAAAGTCAAGATGCCCACAGGCCTGGTCTGTGATCTCTTTTCCTGGTTTATAGATAGCTGCCCTTTCACTGTATTCTCGCAAGGATCTTTCTCTTTGTACACATGGAGAAAGGGGAGAGCTTCGGTATCCTTTCCTCTTCTTATTAGGACACCAGTCCTATTGGATTAAAGCCCTACTCTTTATGGCTTCATTTAATCTTACTTACCTCCTGAATAACTCTATCTCCAAGTACAGTCATATTAGGGTTGGGGTTTCAACATCTGGATTTTGGAGGGACATAATAGTCTATATACCAAGGGATATCCAGGAAAGACTCAAGGGAAATGAAGTAAAATATAGAACAATGTTCATACTATTATGCATTTGGTGTAAGAATAATGGAAAATTGGAAATATTATACACATATGCAAATGTATTTGCTAATATTAAAAAAAGAAACAATGGTAGTATAAACTAAAACCATGATAACGATGGTGATGGTGGTGGCGTTGGTGGTAACTGCAAGGGAACAAAAAGTAAGAGAGGACAGGATGGAAAAAAGAGTTTGTAAATGTAACTCTTATTTATGTTTTAATTTGAAATTATGCAAAGGTTTTATATAATTAAAAAACAATGGAGAGAAACTAAGACATTTTTCAAACAAACTGAAGTTAGCTGTGTATCATATAGGCAGGCACAACCATAAAGAAAATCATGTTGACTTAAAAAGACATGATGATTGCCAAATCCACATAGCCTCACTACATTTTGTAGTCTTATCTTTAATACTAACTGGTGTTAAAGATACTAATTGGCATTGTTATGTTGAAACTATTGCATATTTTTAGCTAAAGCAAGTGAGATATTATGTTAATATCATTAGACATCAGTATTCTCAGCACAATAGGAAAGTGATAAAAGCACAAAATAGTAAAACCCATTCTTAAGTAATGGGAAAGTGGCCAGGAAAAGTAAAGCAAACAAGGGTTAGGTTTGTTATGGAGATTTAGGTGTGTGCCTTCTCCTTCAGAAAGCTCTCTTCAGAGCTCCTCCTGTGCCTTGTTTCTCAAAATAACCTTTATGCCAGAGGAAGATGATGAGGTGGCGCATCCTGGTGTCCTATAGGTACCCTGTTATCTCCAAAGCAGTATTTTTTTAGTCTGAAAGTAATTGGTTCCAGAGACTCATTCATTACAAAGATGTGTGTATATTTTTAATAGCAATTATTTGTTTTCCACACAGCAGGAATCCCAGCTCCTGTGTATTTTGGAATTTTGATTGACACTTCATGCCTCAAATGGGGATTTAAAAGATGTGGAAGTAGAGGATCCTGTAGATTATATGATTCAAATGCTTTCAGGTACTATATCAACCTCGTTCCTGCGTCTCACTGCTACAACATCCCAGGTTTGCCCAATGAAATTGGTAGTAATCATTCCTTATGTAGTTTCACCGCAAAAGGATAGTCTAAGAAGTGTGTTCTATTTTATAGAATAATTTTATTATTATTCATTTGGCTAGACCTGTATTTGTCCCCATTCCTAATCTTGACTCCCATTTTAAATAAGTAATCGTTTTTGTTTTTTTTTTAATTCACAAAAGATTCCAGAATACAGTAGAATTTTGCAAGTTTATGTGCACAAGTGGGTAATTCTCTGGAGCTCAGAAGCATTTAAATTTAGGTCACATTTTGGGTTCAATTCTATTCTTTTCAAACTGAGCCAAACTGTCCCATTTACGTCAGATATAATCCCCCTGGGCAAGACTTGGATTTGGCTCTAAATCTGTCTAGCTTTTATTGCCAAACTGATGTTCAATTATTCCAGTACTTGAGATGCATAAAAGTAAAAGGTTTTTACTGTGTGTATGAGTGTGTATGTGGCTGAGGGGCATGGCTTTTTCACTATGGTATCATTCAGTTCAGTTCATCAAACATTTAGTCCCCTTATTGCTTAAAGCAATGCTTCAGTGGCTTAAAGTAAGTTGTAGGTTATGCCTGCCTAAAAGCAGGAAGGATTTTTTTTTTTTTTAGACTTACAGTCTGAGCATTTTCTGGAGAAACTTGGTACTGAAGTGTGTAAGTTGGAAGTTGGATGTGAATTGAGCCAACCACCTCAAATAAGTTTGTTTGATTTAATAGGCTTTGATGTTATGTGACAAATTTATTTTGGTTTGAAAGGGACTTGACCTGTGAATAGAATTTGTACTTCGCTCACGTTTGCTAAGGCTGCACTCACTTTAATGTAAAGGCAGTGTACTTAAATCAGAAACTGAATATGTGTACAAGGTGACCAGAATAAATCATTTAACCTGTCCTGTTTTATGATAGAATGAAGAACCAAGGTCTCCTTTTTGAAGAATGTGATTCAAACATCATTCTTCTCTACTTAGGGTCTGATTCTCACTCAACATTGCTTCTTGCAGTTTTTTTGTAGGAGTACATTTGGGCAAGTTTCAAGGGTAGGGTAACCACATAATTTATCATTCAACCTGGACACTTTTGAGAGTGAAAAGGGGTAGTATTAAAAAGTACACTGGGATAAAACCAGCATAAGCTAGGACTGTTCTGGGCAAATGGGCATATGGTCACCTGGCCTAAGGGAATAATTTATAGAGAAGATGGAACTGATTATGTAATTAGTAACTAAAATTATGGCATCACTATAATATGGCTTTGTATTAGTACACTGCCTTCAATAGTCTGCCCAATGTTCACAGAAAGGTCTTTTATAGCCACCAAATCTGCATTCTTAAAGAAAATTATCCTCATGATGGTTTCATTGATAGATTGGTTTTGTTGATATGGATATTTACTGAATAATGTTACTTTCCTTTCACACTTTAAAGTTGGGTAGTTACAATAATTATGACTGAGCGTCTTTCTTCTTTTAGACACATATATCTGGGATTAACTGTGATGCTGGGCACAGTGTCCATTTTCCTAAGTATTGCAGTACTTTTCACTTTAAAGAAAAATTGTGTTTCAAAACATAGAAGCTTCAGAACCAAGACAGAAGGAACAATGGTGTCTACAACAATCAGGAAGGAAAACTGTATTACAAGTGATCATTTGCTACAACCCAACTACTGGCCAGGCAAGGAAACACAGCTTTAGAAAGATTACGACTTGAAGCCATGTTTTTCTAATTTCTGGAAACTCTGTAAACAAATAGATTTCAATCAAAAGGGTTTTAAAAGTGTACTTTTTTTTCCTTTCAAAAGATGTTTTGGATTTGACCCTTGGTATTAGATCAGATACCTGATAACAAATATAATTAAATACATAACAGAAAAATGTAGATAATAAAGCTAATCTAAACCTTTTAATTAATCATTATTTATATAAATTCCTTATATTATTTACTCATTCTGTTTAATTTTACCTTGTGCCCATTGATACAGTAGCCATATTCCTAGTAGAACAAGTGCCTAATAATCTAATGGCTGAGTATAATTTCTAAACTAAGATACATGTCAAGGAGAAGAGACTACTGTTAAAAAATAAAATTATATCTTGACCTCCTTTAAGTATGACAATAATGAAGATGTTAGGATAAAGTCAGAACATGTAGAGAAAGATATTTTTAAGCTCCTCCTTTTTTTTTTTTTTTTTTTTTGGAATACAGTGATTGATACATAAATATATTGTGGCAAATAATCTTGGGGGTTAGAATTTTGGATTATTACCTCTTCTACCATTCATTATATGTGCATTTTGTGTGATGCTTGAAGTGAACATGGTGGTAAAGTAATAAAATTAATATTAACATGCTTTATTGTCTTTCTATAAATTTAGTGGAGTAAAAGATACTGTTAATACAGTACTGCCCAAATTTGAATGTAAACTTTTTCACATGTATGCACATGCACACGTAATCCTAAAACATATTTGAAAGTTGAATTTCTGAAAGTACCGTAGCCATAGGTGTTATAACAGGATTGCAGAGGGAGGGGTTGAGTGATGGTGTGGTTCTTCAGTGCTCTAACTGGCGCTCATCACAGAGCTTAAGGGCTTCTGGGCAGGGTGCTGACACTGCTGCAGTTGCCAGATAGCTCTCTGTTTCTGCACAACCAAATGAGGCAGGCCAGCCCTTTCCTCTTGGTGGCCTTCCTGGTGCTCCTCTGAGAAGATATAGTAGGTTCAGCGGTAGGTTTAATCGTCAGCTCTGTTATTTTTATTCCTCCACTACAGCTGCATAAGAGGGGCTTGGGCCTCACAAGAAAAGTGTCTCTACTTAAGGTAGAGACACCCCAGTGGAATCTTGAAATTGTATCACAATTCTTAGCAGCCTTTACAACAAACAGAATGTACAATCAGGACGCTCCCAACAAGCAATTTGTTTGAGGAGTTTTGTGGAACCTATGTCCAACAAGAAGGTCCAGCTCAGAAATGCAATAGCCTTCAACCCTGGAAGTATCACAGAGTGCAAACAAAATGGTTTGCTGTCTTTTCATTTTTCCATTACATATCAATCCTGTAAGTATGAATGGGGGAAAAAAACGAGATGGAAAGCTTGGGGATGGAGAGAAGAAAAAATTTCCTTTAAGTGTATATTAATTTTGTTATTTGAATTAGTGATGCAAGATTTTCTCATATCTTACTATTTTGAAAATGAAAATAGACATTTTGTTTCCAGCATGCCTACATCAGACCTGCTGCTGTGCTAACTTGAGAACACAAATTCTTTTTTGTCATCTCAGTATTAGTCTTACCCACAACACATATACAGAGTGGGTGAGGGAATACACTTGTCAAGAATTTGCTCTGTAAAGATGTAATTAAAATTCAAGTTCCTCATCCTGACTCCCACATCCTCTTTATTTTTTAAAGCATTTTGTAGCAATATCCTGAAAAATAATTTTTGCAAGTAAATTTCTCTTCTGAAAAATGCAAAATAATCAGATAATAGGTGCTGTCTATTGACTCTCTTCATGTAAGATTAAACATTTAAAATGTTAAATTTAGAAGAATTCAATGTAAGAACTGAAACCATAAAACTCCTAGAAGAAAGCATAGGAGGTAAGCTCCTTGACATTAATCTGACAGCAATTTTTTGGACATGACAGCAAAAGCAGAGGCAACTAAAGCAAAACTAAACAAGTGGGATGACATCAAACTAAAAAGCTTCTTCACAACACAGGAAATCCACAACAGAATAAAAAGGTAACCTACAAAATGGGTGAAAGTATTTGTAAATCACATAGCTGATAAAGGGTTAACAGTCAAAATATATACGGAACTCATACAACTCAATAGCAGCAAATTAAACAATCCATATTTTAAATGGACAGAAGAAGAGAGTAGACATTTTCCAAAGAAGACTTGCAGATGGCCAATAAGTAAATGAAAAAGTGTTCAATATCACTAATCATCATGGAAATGAAAATCAAAACCACAATATGATATCACTTCATACTTGTTAGAATGGCTATTACCAAAAAGACCAGAGATAATAGGTGTTGACAGGAATGTGGGGAAAAGGAAACCCTTGTGAACTATTAGTGAGAATATAAATTTGTGCAGCCATGATAGAAAACAGCATGGAGGTTCCTCAAAAATATAAACATAGAGCTACGATATGATCCACCAATTCCCTTCTAGGTGGAATATCCAAAGAAAAAACAGGATATTGAAAAGACATATGCACTTCCATGTTCATTGCAGCATTATTCATATAGACAAGATTTGGAAACAACCCAAATGTCCATCAGTGGATGAATGGATGAAGAAGATGTGGTATATATCTATATACAACAGAATGTAATTCAGCCATGAGAAAGAAGGCAATCCTGCCATTTGTGACAACATGGATGGACTTTGCTAAGTGAAATAAGTCAGCTAGAGAAAGACAAATACTACATGATATCACTTACATGTGAAATCTATAAAAAAAAAATTCTTAGAATCAGAGAGTAGAAGAATGATTATCAGAGGCTACAGGCTGAGGGAGATAAGGAGAGTTTGGTAAAAGGGTACAGACTTTCAGATAGAACAATGAGATCTGTGGATCTACTATTAAACATGGTGACTATAGTTGATGACACTGTATCGTATAACTAAAATCGCTAAAAGACTTGAACTTAAATGTTCTCACACATCAAAAAAGTGAGGTTATGGATGGGTTAATTAACTAGATGGGGTATTCTTTCACAACATATATGTATATCAAATCATGACTGTATACTTTAGATATCTTACAATTTTATATGTCAGTTTTACCTCAATAGAATTGCAGTTTGCTTTAATTTAAAAAGCCAATCTAAAAAAAAAGGTTTTTATTTTCTATTTCTTCTTCTCACAATTCCAAGGTTGTTTTAGAATGTAATCAAAGAGGGCTAAGCTTCCATCTTCAGCTCAGGTCATGATCTTGCAGTTTGTTGGTTCAAGCCCCGCATCAGGCTCTGTGCTGACAGTGTGGAGCCTGGAGCCTGCTTTGGATTCTGTGTCTCCCTCTCTCTCTGCCCCTCCCCCGCTCAATCTCTGTCAGTCTCTCCCTCTCAAAGATAAATTAACATTTAAAAAATGATAATGTAATCAAAGATTTAAGACTTAAATTATTAATAAATTATTTTTATGTGACTTCTTTTTGGCATATAAAGAAATACACAAGGAAAATGTCATGCATGCATCCTTTTGCCTATATTTCTTCCTTTCTTTATAATAGATTCCTAGAAATAATATGTTTCAAATATACTAACCAGTGGCATTTCAAAACGGAAAGACAATAGAACCTCACAAACAGCATTTGAAAGATTAGCTGTCCTCAAACTTCACCAATCTATCAAATTTACAAATTAAAAAAGACATTTCAATGTTTCGATTTCTATTTTTTGCTAGTATGTTAAAACTTATATATCAGGGTGCCTGGGTGGCTCACTTGGTTAAGCGTCCAACTTTGGCTAAGGTCATAATCTTGTGGTTTGTGGGTTCGAGCCCCGCACTGGGCTCTGTGCTGACAGCTCAGAGCCTGGAGCCTGCTTTCAATTCTATGTCCCTCTCTTTGCCCCTCCCCAACTTGCGCTCTCTCTCTCTCTCTCTCTCTCTCTCTCTCTCTCACACACACACACACACACACACACACACACACACACACAAACGTTAAAAAATTTAAATTTAATGTGATCTTTGACTTAAATTTTTTTTTAATTTTATAATCCTATACTCCTGTATAGGATCTAAATTTATAAATGTGCTTAAAATAATCTTCTTGCCTTATGATGATATGATTACCTACATTTATCTATGTTTTATGATTTAGTTTCTAAAAATATTTAATGTCTTTTGATTTATTTATTTTATAATTTTTTTAACATGTATTCATTTTTAAGAGAGAGAGAGAGTGCGAGCCAGGGAAGGGCAGAGAGAGAGGGGGAGACATAGAATCCAAAGCAGCCTCCAGGCTCTGAGCTGTCAGCACAGAGTCTGATGCAGGGCTCAAACCCACGAGCGCTGAGATTATGACCTGAGCTGAAGTCAGACGCTTAACCGACTGAGCCACCCAGGCACCTCTGGGTTTATTTTGATGTAGTATTGTTTATGAAGATTTTTTTAAAGTACACCCAATGTGCAGCTCAAACTCACAATCCTAAAATCAAGAGTCACACACTACCAACTGAACCATTCACACAGCCCTTGATGTAATATTTTGAAATAAGGAACTTAATTATTTTGACAAATTGTTAACCACTTGCCCTAATAGTCTACATTCTCTGCCTTTGCAAATTCTTAAATTATGAGTGTCTGGGGTTTTCTAATCTCATTAATATGACTATTTCTGTCCAGAATGACACAATATAAGAATTATATATACATGAAGTATAAAAATACATTTTAATTTATGACAGCTCATGCTTTTCTTCATATGATTCATTTTCAAAGTTTCTTAAATATATTCATTTTTTCCTTCTAGATAAATTCAAGATTGTTTTGTCAGCTTCTAAAAATATCCAGTTGAGACCTAAGAGACCATTTTTATATAATCATCATATATAAGGCATTTATACATAATGCATATTTCCTTGGAGTCCATAAAGCATTTTAGTATATGTAATTTTTTATTCCACATAACCTTAAAGATCAATGTTTCTTTCCATTATAGATTTAAAAATCTGAGCCCATAAAAGGATTACATAAATTTACCTGACTTGCTAAGTTTGTAGTTTCAGGTTTTGACAGAGTAGAAGCTTAAACATATCTTCTGTTGCCTAGTCTAGTGCTCTTGACACTCACCATATGTGGTTAAAATATTTTCAAAGCTCCCAACCAGCAGAGACAGTCATACAATGCAGGGTACCATATATCCAGGATATTCAGTTTTTATTTTGATAGAATCACGTTTTCACCTCTGTTCCACAATCTTTGCCTCTATCTAAACAATAAAATTATTTTGCCTATGTTGTTGTTTTATTTTTCCTTTTTTCTTTCTGGTATGTATATCTAGGCTGGCTAAAGTGGTCTACTTGTTTAAAAAAAAAGTATTCTATATTCGGTTGCTCATGCAATGCAAAGACCCTCACAATGGTGGTAGAGCTGACTAATGAAAACAGAGTACCTACCACCATAGTAATCAGTGTCAGCACTGGAGGTG